AATGTGAGGTTTTCCCAGCAGAGCATGGGAGACAGCTTGAAAACTGTCCACTCTGCTCCCTTCATTTCCTCCTTTGAAATTGTCACTGCATTCCTCAAAATGCTTTCTAAGAATATGTGATGATCAAAGATGCTCAAAAGTTTTGATGTGTGTCGTGCCCACAGTAGAAAATGACAATAAAAATTATTATATCTTGTCTTACCTTACCTTACCTTGTCTTATCTTATCATGCCTTACCTTACCTTGCCTTGCTTTGCCTTGTCTCGTTTTGTCTTGTCTTATAAATTTCAACCGCTTAAAAAAAAGTAGGAACACTAAGACTGATTTTGTCATTCTGAGAATCCTAACTGTTAATTCAAAACAAATTCAGCTCACAGGCCGTGTTAAGAGAGTTTGAAAGCACAAAGGGGATATTTTAGCAGGAAAGCTGAAGGCTGCAGAAGGGTCTCAGAAGTTGGGATCTGCTTCGTTTATAGTTCGTTCCCCCTTCATTCTTAAAGAGTTGAGAAGCAGAAAAAAAAAATATTTTAGGCATATTATTAGACCCAGTTCCTGCATTTTATTTCTCGATCTCTCTGCTCACAGAAGTGCTAGAGATAGCTAGGTGGTTAAATTGAGATAGATAGATAGATAGATAGATAGATAGATAGATAGATAGATAGATAGATAGATAGATAGATAGATAGATAGATAGATAGATAGATACTGTAGACCAGTGGTAGTGAACCTATGGCACGGGTGCCAGAGGCGGCACTCGGAGCCCTCTCTGTGGGCACACATGCTGTTGCCCAACATCGCCTCCCCCCATGACCCCCTCCTCTCCAGTAGCCCCCCTGAAGGAGAGTCACCCCTGAGGGTAGCCCATGCTGAGCAGCGCAGCCAAGGACATGGCAGTCAGGCAGCGTAGACAAGACTCTGCCCTCACACCCCATAGGGCAGAGTTGATACTGCAGGGCAGGGGCAGAGGGTGTGACCGCCATAGCGCTGCTGGGCTGCCTGGGCGATCTGTGGCGGGCCCTGGAGGCGGTGAGTGGCCCTGCGGGCAGGTGGGGTGGGGGATGGGGAGGTGGAGTGGAGCGGAGCAGTGGGTGGAATGGGGGCGGGGCCAGTTTTTGGGCACTCGGTCTCTAAAAGGTTCGCCATCACTGCTGTAGATAGATAGATAGATAGAGAGAGAGAGAGAGAGAGAGAGAGAGAGAGAGAGAGAGACAGACAGACAGACAGACAGACAGACAGACTTTCAATTGTACCTGGAGTAAGGTGAGTGTGTTCTTTTTGCCCCTTTAGATGTGTAGGATATGTATGTGTACATAAACATATCCTACCATATTTTTAAATCAACCCTCATGAGTGTTCATCCATTCTTTTTGTTTACTCACCTTTTGCCCATCTAACTTGCTCCGTGGTTCCTCCTCATGTTGACCAGCTGTTGATTCTCACATTTTCTACTGGACTAGTCAGTCCTAGCCCATCTTCTACCATTAATTTTCCCCACAGTTGGATAAATATGGACACCTCCCAACCAGAAATCCTCCAGCAACTCTTCTGATCAAGAGTTGAAATTAAAGCTATCTCTATAGAATCCCTTTTTGAGAAGACTCCCTTTTAGCGCAGGGGTGTACAAACTTGGACCTTCTACGACTTGTGGACTTCAGCTCCCAGAATTCCCCAGCCATCTAAGAAAAGTGATGACCTCTTGTGACCTTCTGACAAGCAAAGTCAGTGGGGAAGCCAGATTCACTTAACAACCGTGTTACTAACTGAACAACCGCAGCGACTCACTTAACAACTGTGGCAAGAAAAGTTGTAAAATGAGGCAAAACTCACTTAACTTACTGTCTCACTTAGCAATGGAGATTTGGGGCTGAACTGTGCTTGTCAGACAAAGACTCCCTAATACAACAGACTGACTCTCATATGTGTTCTCTAGAGCAGAGGCCTCCAACCTTTTGGGCACCAGGGACCAGTTATGTGGAGAGTTTTTCTGTGGACCAGAGGGGGCGTGGTTTTGTGTGCTGCCTGCATCCCGCGGATGGGGCTTTGCTTGTTTGTGTGGACCGGTTGCTGGCATGCCACGGCCCAGTACTGGTCCACAGACTGTGGGTTGGGGACCCCTGCTTTAGAATCACTCGTAATCATACTTTGGTTGTTTGCATATCTTACGATAAAAACTCCATTAAGGGTCATTCCTGTGACTTCCTTTTATCCAGCCCTTCACATGGCTTCCTTAATCTAATTTAGAGGCTTTCTGGGTTAACCAATCCTGGAATAACCACCATTTGTGTTTTCAGAAGCAGACTTTGGATCCAAGGCTCGTGCGGCTGTCGTCTGGATTTGGAAACTACGAGATAGTGGACAATTTTAAGTGTGGGCCATGGTCATGGTTAGAGGGCTGTGCATCATAGAATGAAAGGGTGGTCTGCAAGTTTATTGACCAAGCTTTTCTGCAAAATCACGTGAGCAGTTTTTCAGTGGTTTATTGTTTTGACAGCACTGGCCACTAAGTTTCAGGAAGGGTAACTGTGGGATTTATTCTCACGTTCTTATTTAGATTTCCTGAGATAGCGGTGACTGGTGGAAACCATTGAGGAAGAAACTGCCAAGGTTTATATAGGGGTGTCTAATCTTGGTGATGTTAAGACTTGGAAGGGACCTTGGAGGTCTTCTAACCCAACCCACTGCTCAAGCATGAGACCCTATACCAGAGGGGTCAAACTCGCCACATCATGTGACGTGTCACGACGTATCACGACTTTTTTCGCACTGCCAGAGCTGGGGTGGGCATGGTCTCCGCATACTGCAACCAGCCCGCAGGCAGGCAGTTTGACACCCCTCCCCTATACAATGCCAGACAAGTGGCTGTCCAGTTTCTGCTAAAAAGCCTCCAATGATGAAGCACCCACAACATCTGAAGGCAAGCTGTTGTTTGTTCTGTTAGGAAATTTCTCCTTAATTCTAGATTGCTTCTCCCCTTGATTAGTTTCCATCCATTATTTCTGGTCTTGTGGTACTTTGGAAAACAGGTTAACCCCCTCTTCTTTGTGGCAGCCGCTCAAATATTAGAACACTGCTATCATATCAACGTAGTCCTTCTTTTCACTAGACTAGACATACCCAATTCCTGCAACTGTTCTTCATGTTTTAGCCTCCAGACCTCTAATCAAGCTGGCTGGGCAATTCTGGGAGCTGAAGTCCACAAGTCATAAAAGGGCCAAGTTTGAAGACCTCTGCTCTTGCCTCTAACAGCTAAATCAAGGCTTCCTATTTGGAGCTAAGAGCAGGAAACCTCACAATTGGCCACTTTTAAGACTTGTGGACTTCAACTCCCAGAATTCCTGAGTTAGCCATACTGACTGGGGAATTCTGGGAGTTGAAGTCCACAAGTCTTAAAGTTGCCAGAGTTGGACACTCCTCGTTTATACAGCCTGAGCACAGGGGAATAAAAACCTAATAATCTGGAACAACTCTTAAGGCTGACCTCCACCAAAAGACAGCTTCCTATCATTCCTTATGTGGCAACCCTAGAAGTGTGATATTTTGCCTCTGGGGCTTTTGAAAAAAAGTGGACGCAGATAAAGTAGCTTTCCCCAATAGGTTGACCTGCTCTCTGGATTTGTGAAGTTGAACGCCCAGAAACCTCTAGCCACAAAGACCATTGCTGAGAATTCTGGGAGTTGAAGTCCATTCAACTAAAAACCACCCCTTTGAAGATGTCTATACAATCTGGTGGCCTTCAAAATGGCAAGACAGTAGATGAGATGGTTATTCCAAGTTGCTGAAGATTGGGCCAGGAGTAAGGGATCCTCTCCGCCATAGAAATGTCTCAGAGTGTACCCCATCCTCCTTCAGCCATTCCCTGGAGGACTGCCAGATCATAGTTTTGCCCTGACAAGATGACACCAAAACAGGATGTCCCAGTCAAGAGTTACTGAAACTCCATCTAAGATACCCACTCATTCCTTCCTGCCTGTCAATAAGACAATATCTGTAGCTCAAGGCTGAACTGTGGAGACCTTGGTGGTGAGCTTGGTTGTAGACACTTCTTTTACTTGCCTAAGTACCCTCATGAGTGTTCATCCATTCTTTTTGTTTCCTTATCTTTTGCCCTTGGCTCCTCCTCATGTCGATCAGCTGTTGATTCTCACATTTTATACTGGACTACCTAGCCCATCTTCTATCATTACTCCTCATAACTTGCTCCTTGGTTCTCCTCATGTCAACCAGCTGTTGATTTTCACATTTTGTACTGGACTACCTAGCCCATCTTCTACCATTACTTTCCCCCAGTTGAACAAATATGGACACCTCCCAACCAGAAATCCTCCAGCAACTCTTCTGATCAAGAGTTGAAATTAAAGCTATCTCTATAAAATCCCTTTTTGAGAAGACTCCCTTTAGCGCAGGGGTCTGCAAACTTGGCCCTTTTATGATTTGTGGACTTCAGCTCCCAGAATTCCTCAGCAAGAAGCTGAAATCCACAAGTCACAAAAGGGCCAAGTTTGAAGACCCCTGCTTTAGAGGATGATTGTCTTCTGGGCCAACAAGGAAATTTGTTTTAATTTCATTTCTCCCTTTTTCCTTTCTTCTGGCTTTTCTTAGCCACAGTTAGCATGGCTGCTGGTGATGGAAGGTTCAACAAGGCCTATGGCTGCTGGTGATGGTTCAACAACACCTGGAAAGTCACCCATTCCTAACATCTGGCCTACACATTGCCTTCTTCTTCTGGTCTCTTCGTTCTACTATTCTGTTTCTCTGCCTCTCAGAATCTCTTCCCGAGAATCCTATGGATGGTTTAAACCCTGTTCACCGTAATAAATATATCTTCACTCAGAAAAGACGCTGGTGGGCTGCTTTGCACTCTGACATCGCTGCAGGCCAGCCAATCAGATTTCAGAGACTTTGTGGACATCAGTGGATGGTTGGAGGACCAAGACTGCAAGGGTTTTTTTTTTTTTTGGAAGTGTAGTGGGAGAAGAAAACAGGAAGATTTTCAAACCCTCTCCTCAGCAGTCAAAGAGCCTTTATTGCTGAGAGGCTTCTGATTGCAATCGTGAAGAAATATAATAAATACAGGAATAAAATAAAAACTTGAAATAAAATTCAATAAGCAAGATAAATTTCAATAGGTGAGATAAGGATAATATAAGGATTCTGTTCCCCACGCCCAAAACTTTGCACCTCCCACATGCAGTCTAAGTCAATTTCCCCCCCCCTTTTTTTTAAAAAAAAGCAAGCCATTTATTTTAATCAAGCAAGGAAACCCTTGGATAATTTATAAAAACTCTCCAGGAAGAAAAAAATCATTGTTTTTTGCTTCCTTCCTTAATTTTCTCAATTTAATTCTTCGTGCCCTTAAAAAGACCTGGAGGGTTTTCTTTTTCTTTTTTCTTTTCATTTAAAAACCACCAGCAGTTCCTAGCAGTGGCAGAAACGCCTCATAAGATGAATGCATATCACCTTACAAACAGTAAAAACACACCTCTTCACATGCACACGTGTGTGATCTCATAAGATGCAGGCCCCTTTTGCTGAGCAAAATTTCAAAAGCATGAGTCTGGTTTAACACACACACACACACACACACACACACACACACACCAGGCACATTTAATTCCCCACCGGGCAAGCAAGTGAACATCTAGTGTGGGCAACAATGGAGGGTGGGAGAAAAGGCAACCGCACACAGCCAGTGACAAAGTACGCCAAGCCCTGCTTGGAAAGAAATGCTGGAGAGCCATGCTGGACGGGAGGCCTAGGAAGAGCGTGGTCCACACATCACATCGACGAGGCAATCATCAAAGTACGCCAAGGGCTTTTAAGCAGCTGAGCTGGCTTCTTTCCGCCCAATCACAGGCAGGGCGGGAGGGAGGCGGAGCTTACGAGGGTTCTGTGAGGGGGTCAGGCAGACAATCCGAGGGAGAGTCCTTGTCAATCTCCGTCCCGTCGTCATGGGGATGGAGATGAGCAGGGAGGAGGGATTCGTAGGTCATGATAGTGGCAGTCACCATGGTGTCCTCGGTGCTCCTGTTCTCTAGGGCTGCATGGGTCTTGAGGTGCTTGCGTAGGTCCGAGGCTCCCAGGAAGGCTTTAGAGCAGTGGGGACAGGCGTGGGGACGGACCCCCGAGTGGATCCGCTCGTGCTTGCGCAGGCCGGCCCGGTCCGAGAAGCCTTTGCCACATTCTGGGCATGGAAACGGGCGCAGGCCAGGGTGCAGCAGGCGTTCGTGGCGACGTAGTTCCTGGGTGGAGGCAAAGACCTCCCCACACTCCCCACAGGCAGGCACCACGGTGGCGACCACAATGGCCGATGGGTCACTGAGGAATGGGTCCTGGTTGCCCACAGGGGTGGTCTTGTCATCACTATTCTCGTTGCCGTGGGTGCGTTCGTGCTTCCGGAGGCTGGACGACACCACAAAGGCCTTGCCGCAGCGGCCACACTTGAACGGCCGCTCTCCCGAGTGTACACGGTAGTGTTTGGTAAGGCTGGCCCGCTCAGCAAAGCTCTTGCCGCACTCCCCGCACTGGTGAGGGCGCTGGCCGGAGTGCACCAGCAGGTGGCGCTTGAGGTCCCATGAAGCCACAAAGCTCTTGTCGCACTGCGAACACTTGTGGGGCCTCTCGCCTGTGTGGATGCGCTGGTGCATGGCCAGGTCAGCCGGTTGGCGGAAGGCCTTCCCACACTTGTCGCAGGCGTAGGGCTTGAGGCCCTGGTGGGCTCGCTGATGCCTGCGAAAGCTGGAGGGGTCGCTGAACATCCGTCCGCACTGTGGGCAGAGAAAAGGCTTCTCGCCAGAGTGGGTCCGCTGGTGGCTCTGGAAGGAGGACAGCTGGGTGAAGCCTTTCCCGCAAAGGTTGCAGCGATAGGGCTTGTGGGCCGCATGGATGCGCTGGTGGCAGGCCAGCGATGAGGACCGGGAAAAGGCCTTTCCACAATCCTGGCACAAGAAGGGGCGTTCACCAGTGTGGGAGCGCTCATGATTCTTGAGATCCTTCAGCTCAGCGTATGTCTTGTGGCACACCTCACACTGGTAGGGGCGGAGGCCAGCGTGGGTCCGGCGGTGCTTCCGGAACACCGAGGGGTCGGCGAAGCGCTTGCTGCATTCACCGCAGGAGTATGGCTTCTCGCCCGTATGAGAACGCTGGTGGATCTTCAGCTTGGAAAGAGTGCCGTACCCCTTGTGGCACTGCTGGCAGCGGAAGGGCAGGTCTCCAGTGTGCCGGGCCATGTGGACTCGCAGGCAAACAGGCTGCATGAACGCTTTGCCGCACTCGTGGCAAACAAAGGGCTTCTCGCCACTGTGGCTACGCCCGTGGTTCCGCAGCTCGGGGGCAGTTTTGTAAGCCTTGGCACAAAGCTGGCATTGGTACGGGCGCTCCGTTTGGTGGCTGAGCTGGTGCTTGCGAAGTTGAGCCCGGTCAGGAAACTCTTTCCTGCAATTAGGACATGCGAATTTGACAGCTACGCCATCCACAATACCAGCCGCGTGGGACTTTAAATGACGCAACACCCGTGGCACGCTAGGGAAAGTCTTGCTACAGGTCAGGCACCTGTACCGTCGCCCAGATTGGATGTAGCCAGGTTCTTCTTCCTCCTCCTCCTCCTCCTCTTCTTCCTCCTCCTCCTCTAGCTTCACTTCCACGCTAACGTCTCCTTCTTCTGCTTCGGCCATCTTTCCAGAGGATGCTGCCTGAAATACACATGGGCATCGCCTTTACAAATTGTCTCTTTACAGGGTTTATAGATAAAGGTGAGACAGGGACAGGTGGGGTGGCATGTAGCCTCCCAGTTAATTTGTGTGGTTTGTGACCGAACTCTGTTGACACTTTCCTTCAGTGACAAAATGTCCAGATAATACACCAAAATGGGGGCAGTCCTCATCTTACGACCACAATTGAGCCCTAACATTTCTGTTATTGTTGAATTTTGCCCCATCTTTACAACTTTTCTTGCCACAGTTGTTAAGTGAACCACTGCAGTTGTGAAGTTAGTAATATGGTTGTTAAGCGAATCTGGCTTCCCCATTGACTTTGCTTGTCAGCAGGTCGCAAAAGGGAATCACACGACCCCCGGGACACAGCGACCGTCATAAATGTGAATCAATGGCCAAGGGTCTGAATTTTGATCACATGACCCTGGCGATGCTGCAACGGTCGTAAATGTGAAAAACGGTCACATGTCTCTTTTTTTCAGTGCCATCACTTTAAACAGTCACTAAACTGTTGTGCAGGTAATCCTCAATTTATGACCGGTTGCTTAGCAATCAAAAGTTATGACTAACCTAAAAAAAAAAAGGTATTTGTGACCCAGATATGAAGTTCCAACAGGCGCACCCTTGCAGTCACGTGACCATATTTGGGAGTGCTCAGCAAAACTGGTCACATGACTGCGATTTATGTTTTTGTCAGAAACCAGCATTTACTTTTCGTTTCCAGTAAAAACATCCATAATGAATAGGTTCGCTTTACGACCGCTCCCTTCGTTTAATGACTGCTGTTTAACAATCACCGCAAAAAAGGTTGTAAAATTGTGGGTCACTAGACAACCCACTTAACCACCAGAATGATTTAATTGCAGGCTTAATTCTGTTTATAAGTCAAGGACTACCTGTAGTGCGGAAACGGAAACTACAGTAACCAGTGTCCATGGGATATTTTCATTTCCCTCTTAATTATGCCTACCACTATTGCTATATGGACTTCAGCCAGAAAAATATGGCCAAAGCTTGCTCATCTTCTGCACCAGGGGTCTTGAAGCCTGGCCCTTTTATGACTGGTGGACTTCAACTCCCAGAATTCCTCAGCCAGGCATGCATGCCTGGCTGAGGAATTCTGGGAGTTGAAGTCCAAAAGTCATAAAATGGCCAAGTTTTCAAGACCCCTGTTCTGGACCAAGCATTGATCTCACTTCAAACCCTCCTGAACTGCGAGATTTACCTTTGGACTGTTCATGAGCTCTTCATGCAAGCTTCTCTTTAGATTGCAACAAGGGGAAAAGGTGAGAAAACCTAGTGCCATTTCCTGGAGGACAGATATGATCAAAAGCAAGATATTTTTTAAAAAACAATAACAAATTTGCAACCAATTACACCCAGTGGTGAGATTTTGAACAAGTGGCACAGTGATCCAGTAAGGGTAAGAAAGAAAACCCCCGTAGGCCTGCAAGCCCAAAGAGAAGAGAAGCACCAAATATCCAAAATTATGAATATTTTCAACTATAGAGAATTTTCAGAAAGTCAGACTTGTTTTTTTTAAAAAAAAACCTGAGTTTTTGCTCAGCTAAATTTCAGTTTCCTGATTCAGGGACTGAGTATGTAAGCCAAAAATTGGATGTAAAGAGGTGGCGCAGCAGTTAAGTGCAGTACTGCAGGTCACTTTAGCTGACTGTGTTCAGCAGGTCAGCGGTTCAAATCTCACCGGCTCAAGGTTGACTCAGCCTTCCATCCTTTCGAGGAAGGTAAAATGAGGACCCAGATTGTTGGGGGCAATGTAAATATATATATACATTGCTTACTGGTGTACACCGCTTAGAGAGTGCTTGCACTTAAAGTTATATAAGTTAAATAAATAAATAAATAAACTGTTTACCACTTAGAAATCTGTCAACAGATACTGGGTACTATCTGGGTCACCATGATGTAAAAAAGATGTTGAGACTCTAGAACAGGGGTGTCAAATTTAATTTCATTGAGTGCCGCATCAGCATTGTGGTTGCCCTCGGAGGGGGGCAGGTGGGTGCGGCCTACTGGGTGGGTGTGGATAGAGTAGGTGTGGCCTACTGGATAGGCATGGCCAACTCTACATCATTCGCGTCAAGGGTGCTGATGGGGGCCTGGGCAGGAGTGGGACAGATCTGAGGGTCTCTGGCAGAAAGGAGTGGGACCAGGGCAGAGCCCATCAAGCCGGATATGTGAAGTAGGCGAGCCCATTTGCTGGCCACTTCCAGGCGATGGTGCATTTCTTCATTCTTCACAATGGGTGACACCTCCCCAGCATGCACCCAGGGGTGGTGCCGACGCGGCAGGGGCTGGTTCCTCACTGTTTCCAGACAGCCTTCTGGAGCTCAGACTGAATATATTTCAGCATAGATGGGCACCACAAAATTGTACATAGGCTACCGGCCGGCCTGGGCCAGGGCCAAGGCAGAGGGGGCCGTTCCCTGATTCCAGGGCCTTGTGTTTGACATGTCTGCTCTAGAAAGAGTACAGAGAAGACCAACAAAGACGATTAGGGGACTTGAGGCTAAAACATATAAGGAATGGTTGCTGGAATTGGGTATGTCTAATTTAATGAAGAGAAGGACAAGGGGGGACATGATAGCAGTGTTCCAATATCTCAGGGGCTGTGTAGTTAGAACAAGCTATTCTCCAAAGCGCCTGAAGGCAGGAAAAGAAGCAACAGATGGAAACTAGTCAAGGAGAGAAGCAACCTAGAACTAAGGAAAAACTTCCTGAAAGTTAGAACAATTAACCAGTGGAATAACCTGCCTCCAGAAGCGGTGAATGCTCCAACACTGGAAGTTTTTAAGAAGAGACTGGACAGCCATTTGTCCAAAATGGTATAGGGTTACCTGCCTGAGCAAGGGGTTGGACTAGATGACCTCCAAGGTCCCTTCCAACTTTATTATTATTATATTATTATTATTATCTTCAGGTACCATCTGGGTGGCAAACTGACCCATTTAGGCGCTTCCTTTTTCTCCTGTCTGAAAAAGCCTATCCATTTATTGGAATTGGCTTTTGTTTTTACTAACCGCTGAGTACGTTCAGTTCAAACTCAGCCAGCCCGATGGGGCTGAGCTAAAAAATTCTAGATCCAGCCCCAAAGACATTCTGGAAGACAGCAGGAAAAAAAATCCTTTCACTTTCAATCAATCTCAGAGAGACAGCATCTGCTTTTTAAACCTGAACACACGAGCGAAGCTGAGCCATATGTGATGGGAAACTTTGAGTGGGAATAGAGAGAAGCAGATACGTAGGAGAGCTTCATTAAATCATTCCTGGAAGAGCAAAGACAGCCCTGACCAGTTTTGGGTGAGGGTGGTGAGTAAATCTATAGTTCTAACGGGGTTAGCAACTTCCTCAAAATTGGGGAGCATAACTCCCACCCTAAACAACCTGGAGGATGAACAGGAAGAAAGGCGGTGATGTCACTGGAAGACTGCAACCATTTTCTTGGTTTGGTTTGTACTCTGTTCTTTATTATTTTTACAAATAACTCTAAGTGGCAAACACACACACTACTCTTTCCTCCTCCTCCTCCTCCTTCTCTTTCTCCCACAACAATAATCCTGTGAGGTGGGCTGGGCTGAGAGAGACTGACTGGCCCAAAGTCACCCAGCTGGCTTTCCTGGCTAAGGTGGGACGTAACTACTAATTTCTGGCTTTGAGGCCTGGTGCCTTAACCATTAGACTAAATTGGCTCCTTTTTTTTTGCCCTGTTTTGCCTAATTCTGGGCTATTTGGGAGGCTGGAGATTGTATGGCTAGGGATGAGTTGGTAAGCTTCTAGGAAGCGAACTGTTCCCATTTTCATTCTTTAAAATCCCTGGAATTTGGTGGCGAAGTGATTACATTTTATCAGTAGAATATTGGAGGATTGTGGGGCCTGCAGGGAAAATATTTAGGAGTGGAAACTGGAACGAATGAGAGGTCCCATGTTTCTATTTTCACCTCCGCTTTTGAGAAACCTTGTGCCACCAAAACTGGGGTGTGTGTGTGTGTTATTGATGTAGTTAGGATCTGCGTCTTTCGAAGGGACAGAGCTTTGAAAGAGAAACAAATTAAGACACAGAAACAGACATAACCAGGAAGGGGATGGCTCTTTTGTATGACCCAACATACCTGGCGATCCATAGCTATTTTTTTTCTCTTTTTCCTCCCCTCCCCTGCTTCCCTCACTCCCTCCTGCTGGCTTTTACAGGCTGTGCAGAATGAGCACAATGGGGGATTATAATCCAACATAACGGCCAGGTGCAAGATTGGAAAAGCTGGAATCCCTTCGGCAGGGCTTTAGTGGGAGTGACATCTATTCTGTAGCTTATATGCCGATTACGTAGGGCAGTGATGGCGAACCTTTTAGAGACTGAGTGCCCAAACTGCAACCCAAAACCCACTTATTTATTCCCGGGTGTGGCCCACTGGGTGGGCGTGGCTGTGGTGGTCATGGCAGACTGGGTGGGTGTGGCCGAGGTGGGGATGGTCACCTCGATGTTGCTCGTGGGGAGGGATGCCTGTGGGGGCGGGGCAGGGTTGGGGGAGATCCAGGGGGTCTCTGGCAGGTGGGGCGGTGGGCAGGAGGCTCGTCCTGCAGGGTGAGGGGAGGCGAGGCAGGGTGGAGGTGCCATTGTCGCAAGACAAGGCGAGGCAGAGGTCGGGGCGGCTGCTCCCTGACACCATCGGCTCCCCCACATAGAGGCCAGTGAGCGCATGGGGGCCGACAGTGTCTGTCAGTAACCACAGCCTGCTGACCCCTCGACCGGCGCACTTTGGGGGTCCGCAGCCCGCCCGCAGCAGTTCAGAGAAGCTGCCTCTGAGCTGGATGGCCGGCCGACAGCTGAGGAGGTGATCCAGTGGGTTGTGCCCGGGAAAAGGAGAGCATGCGAGGCCAGGAGGGATGGGAACGGGGGGGGGGGAGGGAAACCAGCCATGCTGGGATACACCTGGCCACTTGGGACCTCGGCAAGTTAGCAGGCGCCTGGTTGAAGAGGGACAGTTGCCATCTCCACGGCATGGTGTGTGTGTCCACAGAGAGGGCTCTGAGTGCCACTTCTGGCACGCGTGCCATAGGTTCGCCACCACTGACATAGGGTGTGCATATGGCATCACAATTTTTACGAGCTGCAAGAAGCTATACGAAATTTTGTGTGTAAGGAGTGTGTAACTGACCAAAATAAAGCAGGAGGGAAAGGTACACAAGTCTACTTTGTATTCCAGAATCAGATATATTTTTTTTTTTTAAAGAAAGAGTCTGTAATGTAAGAAGTCAGCATCTGCACCTCAGGGATGAAGGGAACGGGCAGAAAAGATTGCTTGTTTCCTTCACTCTGCCAGAACAGATGGTGGGGGAATTAATTGCCTGCTCTTTGCAAAATGGCTGGATTCAGGATCTGGAGAGAGAAGGGAAGGGCGAGGAAAAGGAAGGCCATCAGAGGCAGATACAGAGCTAGAATTACAGGAGACAGAGGATTTTGGAGGAAGATAAAATAAAATTGCAAATCTCTTGAAAATGGAGTGCCCGGAATTTGCCAAGCAAAATTGCAATTATTCACAAGCTCCCTTTCATTTAGCACCGAAGAACTCAAAACCTGGAGCTTTAGAGGCTCTCAGAAAAAGATGGCAGGTGCAAAAACAACGCAGAACTGTTGGCTACTGGGACAAAAGACTAAAATAAATAACAGCCTGCAAAAGAAAGGTTTGCCCAGGGTTTAAAGGTACCCCCAGATGCATGTGTAGGAATAGCAATAGCACTGCTTCACAGTGCTTTACAGAGTCACCATATTGCTCCCCAACAATCTGGGTCCTCATTTTACCGACCTCAGAAGGATGGAAGGCTGAATCAACCTTGAGCCAGTGAGAATCGAACTATCAAACTGCAGTCAGCTGGCAGTACTGCATTCTAACCACCACGCCACCACGCAGAATACTAGGCAAAAGACCATGCAAGAGTGCCTCTGAGGCCAAGCACACCTTGACTGGTGACCAACAGAAGAGAAAGAGAAAGAGAGAGAGAGAGAGAGAGAGAGAGAGAGAGAGAGAGAGACAGACAGACAGACAGACAGACCGACCACCCCTGCTCTAGCAGGGAGCTTGGCAATGATGTCATGGCATTAGAAGGATGGGTGTTTCTTCTTTCTTTTAGAAAGGTAAAATAGGAGACAAACCTACTGAAGATTTAGCACACTTATTTCTGTTTCTTTTTTTAAATTCTGGAAAAATTAACAGCTCAACAGTTATTCCAGTCTTCTGCTGCCAATTGTTATCTTTGTGGTCGACAATGAGGGAGTGATCTGGGGGCTGAAAAAACAAGGCTAGGCAGGAGAAGTCCAGGGCTGCCCACCCTTGCTGTGGGGTGCCTAGACAGTGAGCACACGCCAGCACAATTTGAGCAGCAAAATCAGCAGACATTCTCGCAGGGCAGTTCAGGATGTTCCCCTCTCAGACAAATTCATCTGTGCTTGCCCTGAAATCATGGTCCAATCCCAGAGGGAGGGAGGGAAGGAAGGGAGGAAGAAAGGAAGGAGGGAGGGAGGTGTGAATGAGAAGGAGGGAGGGAGGGACGGAGGGGAGGAAACAAAAGATAAGAAACAGTTGTGGAAGATGGAATATCTACAGCTACACTATCAGATCTAGAATAACAATCAGATCATTTCAAGGAACGGATGAAGGAAAGAAAAAGAGAAGCAGGTTGAAACTGTAGGAATCCTTGATAATCACATCTGCGGATTTCCAAGCTCAGGGTTTATTGCATTAAGAAGTTCCAAGCCAGCTTTCTTCACTGGTCCAGAACATGGAGTACAACTCCCAACAACCCAAAACTGCATACCATCATTGCTTTTCAGTCTGCAACACTTTAACACTCTGGTGCCCCTCAGTTCGGTTGGACTATGACTTCCATCATGTCCAGACTGCTTGGGCCTTGTAAGATCTAAATGGATCTAAGATAATAAGATCTAAATCTCAACTGTCTATTTATCAGGCACCATTCCTGTTTCACTTGTCCAGCCCATTTGAGGGAGAAGCACTCTTCCTGATTTAAGAGGGAAAAAACTGAGTTTCCCTAAACTAAGATGTATATATAGAGAGTTCCATTTGATTACACTTTCCGTGGTTATTCAATGCAGATTAATGTATTGGAGTGGCGTCTATTTTATACAATGTGAGATTAGACAGGTTTTTTAAAAAGTAGATTGTAGCATTATTCTTCAGCAGATGGAAAGCAGAGAGTGGACAAAAGGTCAGTCCTAGAATAATCAGCAATTTAGAATCAAGGTCAGTCTTTTTTTGGGGGGGGGGGAATAGAGCAAACCCTTTCTCTTTATCAGCAAAGAGGTCTGAAGAGCTTTTCTGTAATTTCCTGTCTCCTCTATTTATTTACCTTTTCTATACCTTCCTTTCTCTCAGAAAAGCCCGAAGCACTTTGCACAGGAGTCATAAAAGCACAAATAAATAAAAACACTCCATGGACCAGGGTAGGCAACCTTGGCTTTCATGACTCGTGGACTTCAACTCCCAGAATTCCTGAGTCAGCCATGAATTATAAAAGAGTCAAGGTTGCCTACCCCTGCCATAGACCAACAATTCTTAAAACCATTTTTTAAAAGAGCCACTAGAAAGACAATCCACTCTTGGGGCAGCCTTTTTCGATTGTCTAAAACAGTGTTTCTCGATCTTGAGAACTTTTGAAGATGTGTGAACTTCAGCTCCCAGAATTCCCTGGTCAGCATGGCTAGATGGATGTCTATGGAGATTCTCAGTCATCCAGGTCATAGTTGTCCCAAAAGTGCTTTTTCCCAAAAGCACTTTATTTTTTCTTTGAAGACATTTCGCTTCTCATCCAAGAAGCTTCTTCAGATCTGACCAAACAGGGGAGGAATATAAATCCTTCCACCATTTGGTCAGAGCTGAAGAAGCTTCTTGGATGAGAAGTGAAATGCCTCCAAGGAAAAAACAAAGTCCCGTTGCCTTTTGGAAAAAAGCACCTTTGGGACATGGGTGGCTGGGGAATTCTGGGAGTTGATGTCCACATAACTTAAAATGCTCAAGGCTGAGACACACTGATTTAAAGACAAAGCAGGTGCAGGTACCTCTCTTGGGAGACTATTCCATGCCAGGGGTGCCACTATCATAAAGGTCCTGCTCCTGCCCATTCCCTGGCAAAGGGGGGGTGGGGATGAGCTGAGCATCCTACTGCAGCTACTTTTTCCTGAAACAACCCGAAGGGACAAAGGGCATGCGTCTGGATCGCTTGCACGCTTTTGTGTCCGCGTGTTTAGGAATCGCCTCCCCCCTCCCCCTCTCGCTCCCATCCCCGCAGGGAGAAAGTCTGCAATCCAACCGGGGAAGCAAGGCTGCGGCAACATCGTTTCCAAAAGGGCAACTAATTAACTAGCTCGGCCAGCCAGCAGCAGCAGCAGCAGAACTCCGAGCGCTGGAAGGCCGACGCGGGTACCGATCTGGCCGGCTTTTCTCGGCCAGGATCGAATGGCCCTCCAGAACCGATGCCCGCCATCCGCGCCCGCAACTGCGGCGTGGCAGAGAGAGAGAGACAAACACAAACACACACACACGGAGAGATGCTCGGTGGGGCCGGCCGCCGCCAGCCGGAGACCCTTTTGCAAAATGGCTGTCTCTAGGACCGAGGGACCCCCCCGACGGGAGACGGAAGGCCAGCCGCTCGCACCCGCTGGGCTTTCTGCCGCCGCCTCCTCCTCCCAGCAGGCGGTGGGCCAAGGCGGCGATGCCAACAGCGGCGGCTCTTTGCATCCACAGCAAAGCGGCCGCTCTTGGCCGTCCGAGCGGCAAAATGGCTGGCTTTAGGACCAAGGGACAGCGACCTGCCAGGCGGGGAGAGGGACCGGCATCAGGGCTCCGCATCGGGAGCAGCCTCGGGGTCCTCGTCCTTCCAGCGAGAGGGAGGGAGAGAAGCCGAGCCGGAGCCCCCGCGGCGAAGCAAAGCCCAGCCCCCGCGGCGGGTCCCCTTCGCCCCGGCCCCCGCCTTACCTGCTGGCTCCCTTTGTCTAGAGGGGCTCTCCCCTTTCTCTGCGGCTCGACGTAGCCGAGCGCTAGGACCGCGGAGGAAGGAGAGGAAATGGAGGCGCGGGGCGGAGCGCGTGCGGGGGAAGGGGGAGGTTGTCCAGCAGCAATGAACTGGAACTACAGGCATCTACTCTTCCTCCTCCTCTTCCTCTGCCCCCCCCCCCCGTCGGCTGCAAAGGCAGCGGCTGCCTTTGAGACGAAGGGAGGAGACCTCGACGCTCTTCTCGTTGGATTAGAAGGGGGGGGAGGCGAGGGGCAGGCAGGAAGTGTGGTATTTCCCTGGAGGGAAGCGGGCAGGCGTTGCACCAGGCGGAAGTGCGGCCAAGCCACTCCGGGGAACGGTTTGGAGCATGCACCAGAGGGGAGGTAATGGGGTATGGCATGTTCAGGAGGCTAGCCCTGATGGTGTTACCTAGTTTTGGATAAGGAAACGTCTGCAAGAAAACAACCAAGCCCAGAAAGCACCAAGGAGCCCCTTATTTTCCAAGAGGGGTTTGCCTTTTGCTTTCTGGCAGCCCAAAGTGCTCTTTCTCCTCTTGGCTTCATGGACGAGGCCCGGCCGCTTCCGGCAATAGGGAAGCGGCTCGCCGCTGTCTTCTTCCCAGGGTGTCTCAAAGATGCCTTTTCAAAAGGCAACCGGACTGGGTTTTTTTTTTTTTAATCTTTGAGGAAGAAGATCAAAACGTTTTGCTTCTCCTCCAAGAAACTTCATCGGTTGATGAACTGATTCTTGGATGAGAAACGAAATGTTTTGTTCTTCTTCCTCAAAGAGGGGGGCAAAAAAACCCAGTCCGGTTGCCTTTTGAAAAAGCACCTTTGAGACAACTATGACCTGGATGACTAAGAATCTCCAAAGACATCTTCCCAGGGTGATTTTTGTCTTTCCGATTTCCCCATCGTTCCAAGATTTCCGCGTGGTCTCCCATCCCAAATGTGCTAACTTGCTAACATCTGCAGTGATCAACGTGTGGAACGGGAAGAAGTCCCAGAGACATGAGTGAGGAGCGGAGCCAGTTCTGACAAGCTAGAGCACAATGCAACACAGGACTTCTTCGCCTGCAGTAAACCAGCTACTTTCACGAGCTTTGCTTTTGTTGCTGCTGTTCTTTTCCACCGCAAGAAGTAGGGAATGACGCCCGGAGGGCTTCCTGCGATTCGTTTCTGCTCGGGAGCCGCTGAGAGGCGAACAGTTCTGAAGTCAAGGCTCTCCTTTCGCTAAGGAGAGAACGAAAATGTGAATCGCGGCACTATGATGCTATACGGTCCAGTTGAGATATAGTCCAGCCAAGTCAGGGACATAGAGCACGGCCCTATATATTTGCAACACTTCAGAAGAGGCGATTCTTTAATTTTAAAAACAAAAAAAACAAAAACACGGGTCTTCTAAGAACGTTGACACGTTTCTATTGTTCAGTATCCTGTGTAGGTGCAGATTTTCAACCCCGCTCTACCCTTTGAATCTCTATGGCGAAATCGCTACACACCTTTGGGAGAACAGACAAGTCGTTCCACCTTAGACCGGAAACAAGACAATAAGGTGGTACACGTAGAGATAGAAAGCCTTAGAACGCTCCATGCTCGTTTCGGCACTTCCGTTCTAACCAAAACAGGTCTCCGCGCTAAGTCCTCCCTCCTCCGCGAAGGTTTTCCTCATAGGCTTCCCGAGACGAGAACGGGAGAGTTGAAGATGTTCACCCGAAACACGCGTTTAAATTAAAAAAAAAATTACGATTTTTTTAGGCGGCGGGGGAGGGGTGGGGTGGGAGAAGCTTTGGAAAGGACCCCTTGCCTGCCAAAGAGAAAAAGCGGCACCGGAAGTCTATTCCCGTCTAACCAGGCAGGGGGGACGCTTTAAGGGATGCACATTTCCTGTTTCCTAGCAACAAAAGGAAGTATTTGTTGTTGCCCTCTCCTCCGGGACGCTTACCAGTGAAGCCCGGGGTCTCGAGGCAAGAGTCGTTGCGGGGCCGCCCAGCCCGGCGTGCGGGACCCGTCAGGGAGCGACGGGACGTCCGAGCGGCCCGGAAGATTTGGGCTTGCCCGGCTTTGCCTCCCCCGTTTGGTTCCCCTCGGCCCGATCCGTCCGTTGCTCGGCGAACCGGCGGCGAAGAGCTCGGCGGGTCTCTTCCCGGGAGATGGTGGGTCGTCGTGGGGCCTCTTTTCTACCTCAGGCCGGGATCCCGCCTGGACCGTGAGCCCCGCCCGTCCACCTCGAGCCGCCCGGGAAGCGGGGCCGTGGACGGGGGCTGCCTCGCTTGCCCTCCTGGATCCGAAATCTCAGGGTTTGGGGCTCCGCTCGTCGCTGCTGATCGCGGCCTCCTTCGAGGCCCGAACGCCGCCTCTCCCGTGGATGCCTTAGAAAGCCTGGAATACCTGCGGGCTGCTGCTGTTGCCCTACTTGAACGGGATGCTTCCCGGGGGGATGTCCTGAAATGCACTGGAGTCTACGGTTGGCGGTCCAGCTCCCCGCCTCTCTCTCTCTCAGCACTCAGGGTCTCCTCGTGTCTTCTTCGGCCTCTGGGCCTGGGGCTTCTTCCTCGGTACCTCCTGCTCTGAAGATGGGGCTCTGAAGGCCTCCCTTGATCCTGAAGAATGTCGCCTTGAAGGCCTTCGCTCTTGGGAAAGCCAGCCCCCCCCCCCGCTCTGTAGCCTGAACTCTGCCCCAGAACAGAAACATCAACTTACACCCACTCATCGCCAGCCTCTTCTGTGATTTGTGCATGTTTTAATGTACATTAATATGTCTGCCTCTTGGCCGCGTTCCCTGTTTGGGGAGGAAGGACGTTTGTGTCGGAGGCTCCCGATGAATGAACGTTATGCTGGTCTGGAAAATTCAGAATGATCTGACAGGTAAGGTCAGGTATGTGTGTGCATGTCTGCGTGCATGCATGCATTCACTTGTATTCAGTGCATAGTTCTTCCAGTCTGGTTGCCATCCATTCCCATTAACTGCAGTTTGCATGGTGAGGTTCAGGGCTGTTGGGGGTTACAGGCCCGATTATCTGGAGAGTAAAGATTGGGGAAAGCCTGGCTCCGGAATAATGTAATATAAAATTTTTGTGCACTATAAGAATATTATAAATAGACTTTTGTTGTTGAGTGAGAAAAAAGTAGTTTAAAGCACTTCTTTCTCTTTCCTGGATCTCTCCTTGTACCTTGAGATTAGAATAAAGTACAATAATTGGGCATAAGAAGGCAGACACACAAGGAAATTTCTGTTATTGAGTAGAATGAAAATAAAAGAATGACATCTGGTGAAATCAAACTCTGTTATGGGCACTGAGATATCTGTTTATTAGACCTACCTAAGGACCTTGTTCCTTAGAAAGAGGTATAAAACTAGTGTTTTGTTCTGCTTCAAAAACGCCTACATTTCTGGCTTATAGTCTCAGACCTAAGTTAGTTTCCTGTCCCTTTCAAAACACAACTGTCAGTCTTTCTGTTCTTAGAGAACAGGAGAATTATAGTCCATTGTGTTGCAAGGCATCCAATTGGAAAAGGTTACATTGCTGCAACAAAAAAACAGTTCTAACACACCCTATCCATAAATTGAGGATGTCATAATTTGAGATCATTTGATTTATTGTTACTTAACTATGCCCCCTCTTTTTAACTGTGTTTTAGGGCTCAGAAGTTGAAACTTGCTAATTTAGGTTTTAAAAAGCCAGTGTGGTTTATTTAGTACATTTGTGCTCAGAGCGACTTTTATTATTGACACTACATGTGTTATAAAACTTCTCCCACCTTATCAAATTAATGCATAAAGGAAGCTAACAAGACACATGTTATAAGACAGTGGTGGCGAACCTATGGCACGGGTGCCAGAGGCGGCACTCAGAGCCCTCTCTGTGGGCATGCGCACCGTCACCCCATTCCTAGGCCTTCAGCTGGGTTTTATAAAACCTTTTCGCTTTAGGCCTCCGCTGCGGTGTGCAAAAAAAAAAAAAAGGTTCAATCAGTCAATTTCAACTTCTTGCAGGGAAAAAAAAATCTTGCAAAGTTGGAATTGATTGATTGTTTTAATTCCACGCAGTCTGCCGTTACCACCGCAGCCATGCCCACCCAATTGCCCACACCCACCCAATGGGCCACACCCACCCGGCACCCGATGATGCATAAATGGGTTTTGGGTTGCAGTTTGGGCACTTGGTCTCTACAAGGTTCTCCATCACTGTTAAAAGAGCTTCCCCCCCATCAAAATACCCTGAGGAATAGCCATTGCTATATTTTTGGGACACTACTTTCATAATACGATTATGTATTAAGAACCAAAGAGTGAGTAATCAGTATTCTAATACCTATTACAACCAGTCGGATATTTACAGGAAGTCTACAACCAGGGCATAACAACATTTCCTTTTGTGTCCTGACATGACCCTTTTCTAAGAAGCTGGCATTTAGAAGTTATTCATTCCATTTTTTTTTTTTTGGGTGACTTGCAAAAGAGGGAGGTGGAAAAATTAGAGCACATACATGTAACAATCTTCTTCACACAGGTACCCTCCAGATACGAGAGGGAAAAATGCAGGAAGTTCTCGACTTACAACGTCATTTAGTGACTGTCTGAAGTTACAATGGCACTAAAAAAAAGTGACTTAACGATTGTTTTTCACACATACGACCACTGCAGCATCCCCATGGTCACCTGATCAAAATTCGGGCATTTGGCAACTGGTTCATATTTATGACGGTTGCAGTGTCCCAGGGTCATGTGATCCCCTTTTGCAATCTTTGGACAAAATCAATGGGGAAGCCAGAGTCATTAACAGCTGTGTTACTAATTTAGCTGCAGTGATTCCCTTTACAACTGTGGCATAAAGGTCATAAAACGGGGAAAATTCACTTAACTTCTTAGCAAACAGGCATTTGGGGCTCAATGGTGGTCATAAGTCAAGGACTACCTGCGGTACCAAATTCATGACCAGAGTCCCGCAGTTCCAACATACTAAAGCACATTGCATGAATTGAACCACTATGGCTTGCAAACTGGATTGTGGTTTACTGGGTTGGGTAGACTATTCAGTCAGTCCTGATTAGCGTGGGCCAGCCAAAGAAAAGTGAGACAGCCACTCCATCAGTGCCAGGAGCCTGGGCTTTTCCCACTGACGGGGACCCCAAAAATTGGAGCCGCCAGATCAGAAAGCACCTTTGCGGACAAGCCAGCCTTTATTAAAAGGCACGAGCTTTCAGGAGCTACACTTGGAATAGCTACACTTAGGTTTTTAATTGGGATGCGGAAGAGAGAGAAAAACCGATTGGTTATGCGGATGCGACTTAGACATGAATGGATGTCAAGTACCTTATCACTTAATGATTGTAATTTATTTATTCATTCATTTATTTATTTATTTATGAGACTTATATACCGCTTTAAGTGCAAGCACTCTCTAATGGGTTAAAACCCCATTTTTGTGTGTGCAGAGATGGGCTGAAACTTTTGCTTTGTGCGAGTTCAGCAGCTCCTCAATAGGAGGAGCTGTTAGAATCCTGTTTTTCCAAAACAATCATTTGGAAGTCTGCTGTAAAGTGTCCAGGGAAATTAGGATGCAGTTCATAAAAGCCTGTGTCTTTTAGTATTATCCCATCGGGGACTGGTCCTGCTAGACCAGTGGTTCTCAACCTTTTTAATGCCGCGACCCCCAACCGGTCGTAAGTCGAGGACTACTCAACTGGTGCAGCACCGTTTGCAGAATGGGACTTTTGGTGGGCTCAGCAGGGCAGAGACAGCCTGGACAATTCCTATTGGCTTTTGAAAGCCAATAGAATTAGACTCTATTCAAGAGAGTCTATTCTATTGGCTTTCAAAAGCCAATAGAATAAAAGGGAGTAGCACAGCTAAGGAAAAGGGGAAAAAAATGGTGGACTGCGTTGTTTGGCGACCCCCGTGAAATGGTCGTTCGACCCCAAATGGGGTCCCGACCTACAGGTTGAGAACCACTGTGCTAGACACAAGCGATCACCGTGTTTTTCCTGCTATCTTACTGGGGTTTTTTTTCCCTTCTTTGGAGGGTGGGAGCCTTTTGGTGCTTACCTAATACAGTGATGGTGAACCTTTTAGAGACCGAGTGCCCCAACTGCAACCCAAAACCCACTTATTTATCTCCAGGTGCCAGGTGGGCATGGCTTACTGGGTGGGCGTGGCTGTGGTGGTCACGGCAGATTGGGTGGGTGTGGCCAAGGTGGGCATGGTCATCTCAATGTTGCTTGTGGGGAGGAACGCCTGTGGGGACGGGCAGGGTTGGGGGAGATCCAGGTGGTCTCTGGCAGGTGGGGCAGTGGGCAGGAGGCTCGTCCTACTGGGTGAGGCAAGGCAAAGCAGGGCGGGGGTGCCATTGTCACAGGGCAAGGTGAAACCAGGGCGGCTGCTGCCTGACACCATCGGCCCCTGCACACAGAGGCCAGCGAACGCATGGGAGCCGACAGTGTCCGTCAGCAGCCACAGCCTGCCGGCCCCTCGACCGGCACACTCTGGGGCTCCGCAGCTCACCACCAGCAGTTCAGAGAAGCCGCCTCTGAGCTGGACGGCCGGCCGACAGCTGAGGAGGCGATGCAGTGGGTTATTCCTGGGAAAAGGAGAGCATGCGAGGCCAGGAGGGATGAGACGAGGGGGAGGGAAACCAGCCATGCTAGGATGCATCCAGCGATGTGGGACCTCCGTGAGTTAGCGGGTGGCTGGTTGAAGAGGGATGGTTGCCATCTTCGGGGCATGGTGCACATGCCTACAGAGAGGGCTCTGAGTGCCGCCTCTGGCACGCGTGCCATAGGTTCGCCACCACTGCCCTAATAAAAGCTTTGTCCCTATTTTTTTAAAAAAACACTACAGGTAGTCCTCGACTTACCATCACAACTGAGCCCAAAATTTCTGTTGGTAAGTGAGGTGGTTGTTAAGTGAATTTTGCCCCCATTTTTACAACCTTTCTTACCCCGGTTCTTAAGCGAATCACTGCAGTTGTTAAGTTAGTAACCCGGGTGTTAAGTGAATCTGGCTTCCCCATTGATTTTGCTTATCAAAAGGTTGCAAAAGGTGATCACATGGCCCCGGGACACTGCAGCCGTCATAAACCTGAACCAGTTGCCAAGCATCTGGATTTTGATCACGTGACCATGGGGATGGTGGCAACGGTTTTAAGTGTGAAAACCGGTCATAGGTCACATTTTTCAGGGCCGTTGTAACTTTGAACAGTCACTAAACCCACTGTTGTAAGTCGAGGACTGCCTGTATAGCTCTTGAGGTGAGCTGATGTGGTGCTTTTAGGGACGAAGCTAGAAACTGGGAGACGGTGAGTTGGACATGAAGCAGTGGCTTTCTCTCAAATCTAGAAAGAAACTACTGAGAAAACTTTTCTGAAAAACATTACCAAGAAAACAGCAGGGACCGGTCCAAGCACTCATCAGAAGTAAAGACTCACTTGAAGGCACAGCTTCCTATTAATGGAGCAGGGAAAAAAAAAAAAAATCTTTATCTGTTGGCCCTTTTTAATGGTTCCTTTTGGTGAAGCTCCATTCTTGTTTTGAAAGGTGTCTTTGAAACTGCAAGAATGAGCACCGTGGTTCCATTTTTACACACAGTTAAGCCTGCAGGTGCTACTAATGTGGTTTAGGCTTTTCGAATTGTGAAAAAGAGAGGACTGAAGGAAAGGGATTTTTAAACAGTCGCGAAGTTGCAAAAATATATAAATGGAGGAAGAAATCAGAAAAAAATCCAGTTAAGAAACTGCCTCTGAAGGAGTCCTAAGCCAAATAAAAAGCTATCCATAATTAACATTTACTGCATTTGGCAGAGTTTTTCTTAATTAAAGGGATGTAACAGATGGGCAGTAGGCTGGCCAGCTCTGAATATTTGGGGGGATGGTATGACCCAGTGCAGACATGTCACACACAAGGCCCGGGGCCCGGATGTGGCCTGCGAAGTGGTTTCATGTGGCCCGTGAAGCCATCCTGGAAACAGTGAGGGAATGGCCCCCGCTGCCTTGGCCCTGGCCCAGGACGGCCGAGAGCCAATGTACAATTTTGTGGTGGCCATCTATGCTGAAATGCATTCAGTCTTAGCTCCACAAGGCCATCTAGAAACAGTGAGGACCAGCCCCTGCCATGTCGTCCCCGTCCCCTGGGTGCATGCTGGGGAGGTATCACCCTTTGTGAGGAATGAAGAAATGTACCATGCCTTGGCGCTTGCCCTGGTCCCACCCCCTTCTGCCAGAGACCCTCAGATCTGTCCATTCCTGCCCAGGCCCCATAGGCACCCTTGACGCAAACGATGTAGAGCTGGCCATGCCCACCCAGTAGGCCATATCCACTCCATCCACGCCCACCCACTAGACCACACCCACCCTGCCCCCCCACCCCCCCCGAGGGCAACTGCAATGCTGATGCGGCCCTCAGTGAAATTGAGTTTGACCCCCCTGACCCAGTGTAACAAAGACACTAGAGTTAAAAATGGGAAATATGAAAAAAATGGAACAGCAAAAGAATTGGGGGAAACTCCACAATTATCCCATCAAGCACTAGAGTGTTTCTCAACTATGGACATTTTTAAGATGCGTGGACTTCAACTCCCAGAATTCCCTAGCCAGCATGCTCACTCAGAAATTCTGGGAATTGAAGTCTACACATCTTAAGGTGGCCAAGGTTGAGAGACATTACTCTAGAAAGCCTCTCTCTATCAACGAGTAAAATTAAGAGTGACAGAATAAAGTGACATATAGTGACAGCAGCTTGATTCTTACCCAGCCCACCTGTTGCCAATTCTCCTCAGAAAATTAGGCAAACTTGGCGTGCCTGGCTGAGGAATTCTGGGAGTTGAAGTCCACAAGTCATAACAGGCCCAGGTTTGAAGACCCTTGCTTTATGGGAGAAAAGGTCTCCCATCTCTGTTAAATACTGTAAGATACTCATAAGACACCCAGGTTCTGTGATTACCACTTTTATGGCTTCCTATTATACCATAGCCCCCCTCCCTTTAAAAAAAACAATCAAAAGTTTGACATGAAACTTGAACTGGAATTCTATACAGAAAATAGAAAAACTCACTCAGTCTTGACTCTACACCGGTGTTTATCAACCTGGTGTAAATCCACTTTTAACGTTTGTGGATTTCAATTCCCAGCATTCCCTAGCCAGCAGGCTGACTGGGGAATTCTGGGAGTTGACGTCCACCTGCCTTAAAGCTGCCAAAGTTGAGAAACACTGCTCTACGCAAAGATGTGATTTGTAGCATTTGACTATTTCTTGCGCATTCTAGTTGCGGTAATGCTCACTCTGATCATGGTGATTCCTCCTTATTGCTGCCCCTCTTTCTCTCTCTCTGCAGGTCTTGGAATAGTTGGGCGAGAAGAGGGGACCCGAAGCCGTGACATGAGACCGAGGGGTGCTTCCAAATGCCAGTGGCTCCCTTTTTAAAGGGAGCCAGGATTAAGAAGGACGTTGGACGTGAGCTATGGCTGAGGGTGATGCTTGTCTGAGCAGTAAGCCAGCTGTGGATCAGGAGGAGCGGCCATACAAGTGCAAGCAGTGCCCGCGGAGCTACCGCCATGCTGGCAGCCTGGTGAATCACCGCCGCACCCACGAGGTTGGCCTTTTCCGTTGCCTGCTATGCCACAAGGACTTCTCCAACCCCATGTCTCTGAAGAGCCACCTGCGCACTCATACGGAAGAGAAACGTCACAAATGCCCAGACTGCGGCAGAAGCTTCCGAGTTTCATCCCAGCTTCCCAGCCACCACTGCCCAGCTCAGGCCAACCAGGAGCAGGAGGAAGAAGGCCGGAGCAATAAAAGCTCCCAAAGGGGCCAGGGCACATCTTCTCCAGATGTTGAACCCCTTTCTGGGATGGAAGGCAGCAGCGGGAGCCTTTTGTCCAATCTGGAGAAGTACATTGCTGAGTCGGTGGTGCCAGCTGACTTTTCTCAGCAGGACTTTCCAATCAAGATGGAACGGGAGAAGCAGGATCCGCTCCCAGGGCACGAGGAGGCTGGGGAAGAGCCTGGGCTACTGGCTGCCATGGAGGACGAGCGCCGCTACAAATGCAACCAGTGTGACAAGGCTTACAAACATGCCGGCAGCTTGACCAATCACAAGCAGAGCCACACGCTGGGGGTCTATCAGTGTGCCATGTGCTATAAGGAGTTCTCCAACCTCATGGCCCTCCGAAGCCATGCCCGTCTCCACTCGGAGTATCGGCCCTACAAGTGCCGGTTTTGCCACAAAGCCTTCCGGTTGCCCTCGGAGCTGCTGAGCCACCAGAAAGCCCACAGCCAGGAGGAGAGCAAGTCCTGGGAGGATTCAGAGCACGACGTTTGGGAGGAGGACTCCATAGAAACTTCAGCAAAGTTGGACATCTATCAGCCACCACCCGTGGGCACAGATTTTGGAGACAGGGCGCCCTGCAGCCTTAAAGATACCTCCAAGGTTGGTGGTGGAGAACGCTGTAATCCGGATGGAGAGCTCTGCGTCCGCTGCGGCGGGACCTTTGCCAACGAGGAGGAGCTGAAAGAACACAGCTGCCTTTACCCAGAGGAGGCAGATGAAGAAGAGGCTGAAGGCAGCAGCCCTTTACAAGCAGCACCCAGCTCCAACGAAGCTTGGGAAGCCCGTCTAAAGAGCGAGGAAGGCTTTCCCATGTTTGAAGAGCGCCCCTTCCGCTGCGGGGACTGTGGGAGGACATACCGCCATGCAGGGAGCCTCATTAACCACAAGAAGAGCCATCAGATCGGGGTGTACAGTTGTACCGTCTGTTCAAAACAGTTGTACAATTTGGCCGCCTTGAAGAATCATTTGCGGGTCCACCTCAGGTCCAAGCTCAACGCCTCGGCCCCAGAAGAAGCCTCCCAGCACCCGTCTGGGATCCTGGACCCACCGAAAGCACAGGCCTGCCCTGACGACTGCCCAGCCCAGCCCTTGGATGCCTGGAGAGGACCAGCTGCCTGTCCCAAGGAAGAGGAAGAAAGGACTCTCGGAGAGGAAGAGAGACCTTACCGGTGTGAAGATTGTGGGCGGAGTTACCGCCACCGGGGCAGCCTGGTGAACCATCGCCACACTCATCAGACCGGAATCTTCCAATGCTCGATCTGCCCCAAGCAGTACTCCAATCTCATGGCACTCCGCAACCACGTCCGCGTGCATTTGCGGGCTGCCCGCATGCGGGGCAAAGAATTAGGGGATGGTTTGACGTGCAGCAATTGTGGAGAGAGTTTTGAGGAAGAGGCTGAATTCCAGCTTCATCAGCTGCGCCATCTGCCCTGCACAGAGGAGGTTGAGACGGCGGAAGTGCCTCGGCTTGGCGCCCTTCACTCTCAGGAAGCAGATCTTCTTCAGACTATTAAACAGGATGTGGAAGCCCTGGAGAATGGGACAGCAGTAGCCGAGGACATCCTGGCCTCAGAAATGTCTCACGTTTGTCACCAATGTGGGTTGGCCTTTCCTACTGTGACTGGCCTGCAGACTCACGCCGTGCAACATAGCAGTGGAGAGGAGCACTTGGAGGGGATGGCAGAAGGAACCGACCCACCTGTCCCCCTCCAGCGTCTCTACGGGTGTGACCTGTGTGGTAAATCGTACCGGCATTCAGGAAGCCTCATCAATCACAAGCAGACACACCAGACGGGGGACTTCAGCTGTTCACTTTGCGGCAAACACTTCCAAAATGTGGCCTCCCTTAAAAGCCACTTGCGCGGCCATCAGAGGCCCAGGAGAGGACTGTCCGAGACGCTGGTGACCACGAACGAGGAGACTGAAACTGAAACTAGCACTGCCATGCCCATGGTGTTATCTTTGGCAGAAGAGCCGGGAGATAGTCGCAGCGCTCTGGAAAAAGATGCCTTAGCCAATGGCTGGCAGTCCCAGTCACAAGTGTCTTCCCCGTTGCCTGAGGATCCTGACGCTCTTCCCTACCTCTGTGAGCAGTGTGGGCTGGGCTTTGACCAGGCCAAGAACTTGATTGACCACAGACAGACCCACCAAGCTGGCATCTACCAATGCTCTCTTTGCCCTAAAGAGTATCCCACTCTCCTTGCTCTAAGACACCATTTCCACGGGCATGCCAAGGCCACGGCACCCGGCCAGGAGAACCCGGTGGGCGAAGGCCATTCTGAGGAGCAGCCGTTCCTCTGCAGCCTCTGCGGCATGATCTTCCCTAGCGAAGAGAGCCTTCAGCATCACCACAGCTTCCTGCACGAGGACGGCGATGGCCAGAGCAATAGTCCAGACGTGCTGAAAAGGCAAACCGAAGAGCAGCTGGACGGTGCAGGGGATTCAGAGGAGGACCAGCTCCTCTCCCACATCTGCGGTTATTGTGGACAGACATTTGACGATATGGCCAGCTTGGAAGAGCACAGCAACGGGCACCTGGAAGAGAGAGCGGCAGCCTTGGCCGATACTTCCATCCAGCTCCGGCGAGCTCCGCGCATGGAGGATGACCCGCCCCCTCCACCCCCACCTTTGGTGGAAGCACTTCCTCTTGCCGATGACCTGCTGGACAGCCGGCCTTACGCCTGTGGTCAGTGTGGCAAGACCTACCGGCATGGTGGCAGCTTGGTCAATCACAAAAAGATCCACCTGATTGGAGATTACCAGTGCAGCGTCTGTTGCCGGCAGTACTGTAACCTGTCTGCCTACCGGAATCACCTTCGAAACCATCCAAGATGCAAGATGAATGGCAGCGTCGCCCAACTCCGACAGCCGGTCACGGCTGCAGAAAGGGGGCTGCCTTGCCCTTACGAGAGGCTGAAGAAGGAGCCTTGTGACAGTTCCCAAAAAGGAGATGCTCCCCCAAGTGACTCTCTCCTTGCCTCTCCTATAGGAAAAGAAAGAGTGGAACAAGGAGAAGAGTTGAGTGCACGCCTGTCGGAGAGCAGAGAAGCTCGGGAATGTGGTGTTCCTGGAGAGGGGAACGAGCGGAAGGAGGCCCACCGAGCAATACAGGAAATGGAGACGGTAGAGGAAGAAGGAGCAGGAGAGGGGAAGGGTCCTCAGGCAGAGGAGGAGGACTCTCTCTCGGAACGCCCCTTCCAGTGCGATGTTTGCGGGCGTAGCTACAAGCACGCCGGCAGCCTGATCAATCACAAACAGACCCACAAGACAGGCCTCTTTCACTGCGGCATTTGCCAGAAGCAGTTCTACAACCTCATGGCCCTCAAAAACCACAACCGCACCCACTTTGAAACCAAACGCTACCGATGTGCCGAGTGCCCCAAGGCGTTCCGACTCCAGAAGCAACTGGCCAGCCACCAACGCGTGCATCGGGACAGGAGACCGGAGCCTGCTTTCCGCTCTGTCCAGAGGCCCCTTCGGACCAGGCGAGCTGGCAAGGCAGAGACTTTCTCGCTCCTTCCAGCCGCTGCTAAGCAGCGGCCAGATCCCGAAGAGCGCCCATACAGGTGCGGGCAGTGCGGGCGCTCGTACCGCCACGCAGGCAGCTTGCTCAACCACCAGAAGAGCCACAAGGTGGGGCACTTCGCCTGCGCCTTGTGCAGCAAGGCTTACCCCAACCTCATGTCCCTGAAGAACCACCAGCGCATCCACTACGAGGTGAAACGCCACCAGTGTCCCGAATGCGGCAAGGCCTTCAAGTGGCAACGGCAGCTGCAGAGACACCAGCGCCGGCCTCACCCTTGCAGCAAGGTCCCGCCAGGGCAAGATCCCGAAAGAACTAAAGTCGATGCCGAAAGGGAGCAGGGGAACAACCCCGGAGAGGCACCTGTTGGGACTTTGCAGAGCCAGTTGCGCCCCAAACGCTTTCGCAAGCGCGCTTGCCAAAAGAACCGTAGCCGTGCGCGTACAAAGAAACGTTTGGAGTGCTCGGATTGCGGCAAAGCTTACCGGGCCTCCAGGGATCTGATGCAGCACCTAAGAAGGCATCAAGCTGAGGAAAGAGGGGACAGTCCTAAGGGCAAGCTGCTGGAGGACCAGCCTTACAAGTGTCATAGCTGTGAGCGGACGTACCGTCATCCTGGTAGTCTGCTTAACCACAAGAAGGCCCATGCGACAGGCCTCTACCACTGCCCCACGTGCCAGAGGGACTTCTACAATCTTCTGGCCCTCAAGAACCACCTCCACATCCACACGGACAAGAGACGCCACCGATGCACCCATTGTGGCAAGGCCTTCCGGACGGCCAAGCGGTTGACCGCCCACACCAAGGTCCACGGCAGGTCTAAGGAAGAAGAGACTTTCTCCTGCTCCGTGTGCTCGAAGAAGTTCTTCCACCATCTCACTTTCCAGCAGCACCAGTTGTTGCACAGCAAGGTTGATGGGCACCACGCTCTCCAGGGCAGTATCACAGGGGAAGGGAACTGAGGGGTTTTTAGCCCACGTGCGGAAGGTGCACCAAGGATTGTATGGCAGGGAGATCCAATTACAGGGAAATGGTCAAGATTGGGTGGGAAGCTGGCTTCATGGGAACAATTGTCCACACGTTGGAAAAAAAGGGGGAAAGGTTAAACTTGGTCACAGATGGGGAGCCTTGGGCCACATCGATGGGAGAAAAGACAAGGAAGATTGGCTCCATGGTTCCCCAGCTTTTTTTTTTTTTTTTTTAGAACATAGATCAGAAAAAATCAAGCTGGGATGGCATGGAAGAGAGCAGGCGAGGTGGGACGGTGGTGGGTTTTCTCCTACGACCGAATGTTACGTTGAGCACATAACCTAACACACCTCTGTGGTGTCTCTTGGAAATACGTCCTGTCTTTTCTCTCTTGGATCCTCTTTGAGGAACTGACTTTTAGCACCCTCGGGACTTCGAGAGGATTGTGCATCGACGTTCTGCTCTTTGCATTTTTGAGCTGTTTTCTATCCTTTTGAATCCTTTTGGGAAGTCAGATGAGTAGCTAACTCCATGTTTAAGCTGCATATAGTATTTAAATTGCTGGGTTGTTTGTTTTTTTTTAAATGGCAAAAGTACTGTCTTATAGGGAAAGCAAGAATACTGGGGGTGGGTCTCAGTTTTGTTCCTGAACAAAGAGTTAAAGAAGAAGACAATAATCCTTGGTGTGGAGTAATCTTTTTTTTAAAAAAAAAAATTCTACCTCCTTCATTCAAAAAATGTACCCGTTTCCTTGGTATGCAAGGAAACATTAAAAAACCGTTCACGAGACGTAGGTTTTGATCGCTTTCAAAAACGGATTCTGAAACCAACGTTCGCTAAAAGGTACTAGGGTTTATGCGGAATGCGTGCTAGAGAAACTTGACTGAAAGTTTTAGGTTTATGTGGGTAAAACTGGCTCTTCTTGGCAGAACCTCTGCTGGCTGTGATTTATCAGAATAGATCCCGAGCAAAAATTATTTTGGGATTTTGTGAGTGAGTCATCAAGGAAAACCATTCTTCATCGCCTTCCGAACTTAATTGGACTTCTTATAGGCCTATCTCTCGGGAGGAAGATTCCATTTTCTTAGTCCCCCTCTTGATTCCCTCCCCCCCTTGGCATCCTCCAAATGGGTTAGCCCACCATCTCTATCACCATATTGACTGAGAATGGTGGGTGTTGCCATCCAAAGCATCTGGAAGAAGCCAAGTCTACCCTCACCATCCTATGGATCTCTGTGGTTGGGGCAGCCATCTTTTCCATCTTGTTAGAAGAAGACACGGGATGCCCAGCTGAAGGGGAAGGGGTCATTTTGTGACCCAAACTCTCCCTTAGGGTGATTTTGAAGGCCAGACTCAATCTCACATTCTTTTATTTCTCTTTAAGCCAAATTGGGTTAGGTTGGGAGAGAAGCATCTGGTCTACTTTTTTTTGGAAGGAAACTTTCAAAGGGCTCAACTTTCTGAGCTCTGTCACATCTAGATTGGTTTGATTCTGCCATCGTTTTGAGATAGCATGGAAGGCACTTATTTCTCTCCAGTTGCCACTTTGCCTTCAAAATGCAGGGCGTGTGTATGTGTGTGTGTCCCCCCAACGTAAATAATATCATTAGTATAAGCCTAATAATTGGGATCCTAGCTGAGGTGGAAAGCTAATTAATCTTGTTCTTCATGAGATCTGCACAGAGCTTGGCACAGATAGTGTTAGGCCTCCTTTCTCCACCTGATGCTTAGTTGTTGGGTTTGTTTTGTTTTTTTTTAATAAGAAGAAAACCCTTCTGTTAAAGGCATATTTATTCTCCCATCCAGTCTGGTTCTGAATTCCCCCGAGGAATAGTTACTAAGCCTAATCCTGCACCATATGAAACAGTGCCCTTTATTTCTCCCCATTTCAGTTCTCAACAGGCACGACTAAATGCTAGTCAGTAGCAAGGTGGCTCAGGATAATAGGCCTGGTGGTCCAACTCTGGGAAGACGACAGGGCAGGAAAGGAAGATTTCCTTGTTTCAGTTGTCCTGAGAAAAATCTCAGCTTGAGAGAACGATTGGAGTATTTGCGAGGGGTTGATCACTTAATTCTGTTTTGCCCAGAGTACTTGGACCCTTTTAGGCCTTAGTGTTGATCTGGATGCAGATCAGATGGCAGAGAAGGGATTCTAGCCCCTGAGGGGGGGGGGGACTTTCTCTACAGCTCAGAAAACAGAGAAGGGAATCAAGTTGGAAAGGCTTGTTTTCCAAAGAACCTGAGGTTGTTTTTAAAAGACCAGCCAGAATTGAGATGCCTTGAAATGAAGCATCCCAAACGTGCTTTCCCTGTTCTCTGGGGAGCAGCCAGAGGTTGCTGGAGATGCGTCAAAGAGATGTCACCCTCATAATCTCTAGAATTTGTAAATGGTTTATAGCGATCGGCTTTTAGAATTAACAAGGACGCAGCGGGTGGGATTATGAAAACATTTTTTAAAAATATTAAAACAAGAGGACTAGAAACTTGACCATCACCAGGCTATCTTCTTCTGTTTGGGGTTGGCCCGGGTACATGTTTCACGACTGCTCTTGAGGCCAGCCCCCAGTTTTGTTCTCATTCAGGTAGAGTTTGGTTCAGTGAAAGAATAAATGTTTTTAAGTAGGTAAGAACTCTTCATTTGTGATTAAAAGTTTTATAGAATTTCTAACATAGGCGGGTAATATTTTTAATAGGGCGCGGGAGGGACACGTGTTGGTTTATTTCGCCAGCTGAAAAATCTGTTTTTCTGCCTTCAATGTTTTATCCTTATGATGCCCAATAACTCCAGAATGTTGACGATCAAGTCCTGTTTTATGCTGCTGTTTTGGATAACTGACATTTTGGCTCTGGTTCAGCAAAAAAAAAAAAAAAAGAGAGAGAAAGAAACCTCACGAAAGAAAAAATAAATTTTGAGTTTCGTACGTTTTCAAATGCTTCCCTTCCTCCTTAAATGCTGGCACAAAATACGATTCGAGACATTATTTGATGTCCTTAGATTTGAAAGCTCCTGGCTGGGCGGGGTGGTGGTGGTGGTGGTGGTGGTGGTGGTGGTGGTGGTGGTGGTGGTGAAGAAAGGCAGAATTGAAGGGGAGGAAATTTTCCAACCGTTCATATTTTGCTGTTCTGACATGCTCTCAAACCATTAGCTGCCACTGCCCTCACGGAGAAGAGGAGACAACGGCTACTCTGCTCCCCAGCCTTCCCAAATTGATACTGTCAACGGGTGAGATGGATTACAGTCCCTATCATCCCCAGCAAGCACGCTGTCCGGCAGGAACTGGTGCTCTAGTTCAGGTTAGCAAACAAGAAAAGGCTATTTTCCCTGATTGGAGAAAGACTTTGCCCAACTTAAGTTTAAAGGCCTGGGAATTTCTTTCGAAAGGTCTTTGGTGCCCCCTGGCGCCCAGGCGTGAACTGTGAAAAACCTCAGTGGCAAATAAATTGTTTTTAATTTTTAAAATAAAAGTGCTTTCTCTGCTGTTTTGAACGGGGAGGGGAGGTGTCAAAATTATTTTTAGGCAAACCGGCCGAGGTCATCAGCAAAGCAGCAGACAGATCTGTTAGTTTGATCTCATGGAACGGTAAAGTCTACCGTTGGATGAATCCAAGGCCTACGCAAGCCGCTCAGGGCCTCTGTCCAGCATTAGATTTTCTTTTTGTCATCCCTGCTGGGTCAAGTCCACCGGAAGTCGCTTTCCGGTGGGATTTCCCATTTTTGGGGTGTTCCTTTTCCCACACTTGGGCCCCCATCTGAGTAAGGTGGTGTTTGCGAAGCCTTGTGAAATTAGCGGCATCCATCTCTAAGAGCTGCTTTGAAGCTTTGGCGCACTCATAGCATTCTGTAACAATGTGACGGGTCCAACCGTTTTCTAACATCTTGAATATCAATTGTTTTGCAATTATTTATTTAGGTAATTATTATTTATAATAATTATGTATTTATAGATTAGAGCAGGGGTAGGCAAGCTTGGCTCTTTTATGACTCGTGGACTTCAACTCCCAGAATTCCTGAGCCAGCATGGCTCAGCTTGGAAACCTCTCCCTTTCCCCTCAGCATGGCTGGCTCAGGAATTCTGGGAGTTGAAGTCCACGGGTCATAAAAGAGCCAAGGTTGCCTACCCCTGGATTAGAGAGATGATGATGAAAGATGAGAGAGTGAAAGGTGAACGATTAGATCAGACATATTAAACGCAAGGCCCGGGGGCCGGCTGCGGCCCGCGAAGTGGTTTCATGTGGCCCGCGAAGCCATCCTGGAAACAGTGAGGGAACGGCCCCCTCTCTGCCTTGGCCCTGGCCCTGGCCCTGGCCGGCTGGGAGCCAATGTACAATTTTGTGGTGGCCATCCATGCTGAAATGCATTCAGTTTTAGCTTCATAAGCTCCCCCCTGCATGGCCTGAGAGGAACAGTGAGGCTCCTCCAGTGGACCATGCCTTGGCACTTGCCCCGGTCCCAGCCCCTTCTGCCAGAGACCCTCAGATCTGTCCCACTCCTGCCCAGGCCCCCACAGGCACCCTTGACGCGAACGATGTAGAGCTGGCCACACCTACCCAGTAGGCCACACCCACCCTGGCCACACCCCACCTGGCCCCCTGAGGGCAACCACAATGCTGATGCGGCCCTCAATGAAATTGAGTTTGACACCCCTGGATTAGATGATAATAAGTAGAGGTGTGTGTGTGTGTGTGCTGGCTCCCATTAATACAAGGGTCCCCAATGCCTGGTGCAGTCCACTACTTAAGGACTGCCTGAAAACATGGCATAAAATCAGGCCCAGTCACATGGTGACCTACTTAATGACCACAACTTATAACTCTAATTCAATTATGGTCTTAAGGACTCTCTATATAATATTATCATTCTGGCAATATTGTGCTACAAACAACGGTAATGCTTGCCTTGCTTTTATTATTATTTATATCCCATTTTTTCAAACAAATGTTCACAGTAACTTAATAGAAAAACCAAATATAATAAATACATGTTATCAAATATAAATATATCTACACACAGAGGCAGAAAAGTACAGCATATTATAAATCAGTATGGGGGAGAAGACGTTTTAAAAAGACAAAAGATGAACAACCAAATGCTTTCTAGAGTACAAGATGCTGGTTCTCAACAATTAAAACCTATACAATCAGCAACATTACTATGTACAAATAATTAGATTTGTTTAGAAATGTTTAAATAACTTACTTCATTAAATAGAACATTGAAAGTAAATACACCAACAAATCCATGTCAGTTTTATCATCTTGGGAGAAAAAAACCCTCAAAATTAGCTTGGATGCCTTTAATTTAGAAGAAAAACCCAAGATTCTGCCCACATCCTGCTTTCAAAATGAAGATGATTTGTAGTGAAGTGCTGAGGCTCGAAGGAAGCAAGAGTAGGGTAAGAAACCTTGATTCCTGGCTTGGCTACAGATGCCAAGGAAGCTGTAGTCTGGGCTCATGGTACAAAAGTTTATATATAACCATGGTATACACAGTATAATAAACCACCCTTAGGGTTTCTTTAAAAAGCTAAGCCAAAAACCACAGCAGTTAAGTTTGTAGAATACTTAATGCTGAAGGAAACAAGCCATATCATGGTTTAATGCATTGAGGGAAGTATGTCAGTCTCAATCCTCTTGTCTATTAATTCTACTGAAATACTAGACTCATAGTCACTGAAACAAAATGTAAATAGTATAGGGCTGTCTGTAACTAATTGGCAAGACTCTACTTACACTAGAAAGCTCAGATTTAGTACACAGGTCACTTGGTATGTGTGGTCTGGTTTTTTTTAGAAAATGATAAAAGAAGAGCATGACATATTGACTATATAAGTTTCACAGCCTTTGAAAATGGATTTTTGGGAGTATAAAAACTGGGCAAGTCAGTTTGGGTCAGTTTAGTCCCGGGCATAGTTTGAGGTGGAAAAAAGGAAATAATTTTTTTTTTTATTTTAGAATCAGGCTTGGAGAACCACAGACTAAAAAAAATAATGAAATGAGAAATGTAACTGTATGAACAGGGTGTCTAAGACAGTGCTTCTCAACTGGTAGCTTTAAGATGCGTGACATGGAATTGTGGGAGTTGAAGTCCATACATCTTAAAAGTTGCCACAGTTGAGAAACATAAGTAAATTGAATGCAATGTTGACTAGAGAATTTCTCTGGCTTGTTGGATTATTATACCAAGATTCAAATTGCTTCAAGACAGAGGTATATACGGATCATAAGATGAAGCAAAAGTTTGCTTTTCAATCGTTCACCGTAAGAGAAATCCTGATTCATGAGTTTGCTAGATGTTAACAAGAAAGCTACACTTTGAAGCAAGTCTCTTCATCTGTGGCCTTTGGTAGAGGGGGCTTTTGCACATTGTAGTATGCGGACCAGGCAGCCTTCATGATCCACTCTTCGTAGTTCTGGACTGGTGTGAAAACCCCTGGACGAATTATAGTTCCACATCCATTTCCAAAGCTGGAAATTCCGGCCAAGAACCACACCCCATTGTGGCTGCAAACCAAGGGGTCTCCGGGGCTTACCTAGAGATTCAAGATTAGAAAGATTACCATCTCTAGCCAACAAGAACCAAAATGGGAAGCTGTGGGGCAACATTTCCAAATCATAAGGCAGAGATAATGCAAGCAGAAATAAGCAACGCTATTTGGGTTATCTGAATATTGATTCTAGAAAACACAATACCAGTAGTTGCAAATCATAATTCAGTTGTCCTTTATTATTAGTCTCAAATATAACCTCTACTTACAATGTTCAAAAAATCTAAGTCTGTGTAAAATAAGACTTGGGATCATTTATTCTGCTTTATTCTGTGGTATTTTTTTCAATTTTCCATAATAACTTACTGGTATTCCCTGGTGGTCTCCCACCAGTCACCTAGCTAGGTCCAACCCTGTTTACCTTACATGACTAGATAAGATCAGCTAGATCAATGGTTCTCAACCTGTGGGTCGGGACCCCATTTGGGGTCGAACGACCATTTCACGGGGGTCGCCAAACAACGCAGTCCGCCATTTTTTCCCCCCTTTTCCTTAGCTGTGCTACTCCCTTTTATTCTATTAGCTTTTGAAAGCCAATAGAATAGACTCTCTTGAATAGAGTCTAATTCTATTGGCTTTCAAAAGCCAATAGGAATTGTCCAGGCTGTCTCTGCCCTGCTGAGCCCGCCAAAAGTCCCATTCTGCAAACGGTGCTGCACCAGTTGAGTAGTCCTTGACTTACGACCGGTTGAGTAGTCCTCGACTTACGACCGGTTGGGGGTCACGGCATTAAAAAGTTGAGAACCACTGAGCTAGATGCTATTTTGCTTAAGAGCTCCATTAACGTTACTATCTACAATAGTACCTCTGCAGTGTCTTTTATATATGGCAAAATGGATGAAAATTCCTAGGTTGCATTTTGAGTTTCATTGACTTAAATTAAGAAAAGATCTGAGACAGAACGTCTGGGTTTCATTCCAATCAACATAAAGAACTGTATATTGGACTAAAGCTGGGAAACGGCCAAAGAAACAACTTGTTTGTTGGCTTATGGCTTATGGCATTTTGGATTGTAGGATGTTGTTTCTGTTCCATCAAAAAGGTATGCATGAACAGACAACAACTGAAATTGTGAGTAGGGGAATGAGAGAGATTTTAGGCAGGGGTACTTGACAAACAAAAAAAATAAAAAGCACTTTGAAATGTAAAGCTAGTCACAGCCTTAGAACCAACCCTGCATTGAACATTTCAGCACCACAGATGGCGGACAGCTCCATTGTGAAAAAAATATTTTTGCTTTATCCCTTGGGGAATATCAGTGCTTCAGTTAATAATAGGTAAATAACAGTTATTTAACTAATCAATGTTTGGGGTGCCCTTTTACTGTGGCAAGGAATTCTAATTTCCCGGGAGTTAGGAAATAGTCTACCCCAAGCAGGGTCAATTTGCATAAAAAAGTTCCCACAAATGTTTAAGTGCACCATTTTCAACATAATTTACCTCTGAAACTTCTAACAAAACAGGCCACATTTAAATCAAGTGTTAAGTTTTAAAACATATGAGAATCCAAATCAAATATATTTGGTCCTCTCATTTTTTTTTTCAGGGAGAATCCAGAATTCTCAAGTCCCCCCCCCCCAACAAAAGAGGCCGGTGTTTGCATAAATTCCATCTTCTGGCATTGTGCTGCTTGTCACTAGTGTTTGTGGGGGTGGTCAGGGTGAAGATCCTCACTCTGATTCCGTTGATTCTAAGCCACAGCATCTGATGGAAACTTTATTTTGGTGGTGGTGTCTTTTCATAGTACACACAACAGCTGCTATATCACTGGCTAATCCCAGAGTACTCCTGAATTCACTTCAATAGTAGAAAAACAAATTTCACTCTGAGGAGAAATTTAGAATTTGGGATTCAAGGGAAATTCAAAATTCTGTAAAGGCTGCACTGAAACGAGCATTTCTGCTCCTTATTCAATGGAAATCCATGCAGGAGAATGAGGAAAAACCACTGGTGTCTAGCAAAAAAAAAAAAAAAAAAGTTCATTTTTCCACAATGGGGTGCAGAAAAAAATCCATGAGGGCCCCAGACAAGCTGTTTCTTACTTTAAGAAGGGACTGAAAATAAGAAACAGCTTGGCTGGGGCCCCCATTCACTTCCTTTTTGCAGAAAATGAGTTCAGCACTCAGGTAGATGTGGGGATGTTACCAAATCTGTCAAAAGGTGCCACTGTTGGGAAATGTGAAAAGACCTAAAGTAGAATTTTTTTATTGCATTAAAACTCTTAATGAATGGAATCATACAAGAAAAAAAAAACCTGGACAATTCAGTTTTAGAGAAATAACCCAGCTCCCTTTTTTTCACCTATATCATTTATGATCATCTCTAAGTTGAGACATGGTCATTTCTTACCTCACAAAGCAGGGTTCTATTATGTGGTGCTGCACAGATCATCTCGGATACGATGGGAATTTCATTCCCAGGCTGGCTGCTCACATTGTAGCGGCAGTTGCAATTCTTTGGGCCAAGGATCTTCACCTCCACACTTTCCAGAGGACCTGGCTTCCCATGATCATCTGGATAAAGAGGGAACAATATTGTTGAATAGCGGGAGTAATTCTACACGAGCAGCGTGATGGCCTAGAGCAGTGGTGGCGAACCTGTGGCACGGGTGCCAGAGGTGGCACTCAGAGCCCTCTCTGTGGGCACGCGTGCCATCGCCTCAGTCCTAGGCCTTCAGCTGGGTTTTTTTTTGTAAAAAAATTTTATTTTCAATTTTAAAATACAATACAATCTTAAAAATACTTCAGATAAAAAATAAAACAAATTAATACACACCATTTTCGGTATTGCTCACCCATTTCCCCCCAAACCGCATCCACCCTCTAACCAACCTGCCTCTTTCCCTCTTCTTTCTCTTTCTCTTTCTCCCTCATCCCCTCTCCTCCACCTTCCTACTTACTTCTCACCTTCTTCTATCCTCTCATTCCGGATGCGGTCCGGGGGAAATGCCCGAGCAATTCTCTCCAAATTGAAACCTCAATATTATATACAATAAAAACTATTTCTACTTATCTGAATTACTAAAATTTCAACCCATCCTTCCCCCCACCCCCCTCCCCCACCCCCCTCCCCCACCCCCCTGACTTCCCAGAGCTAAGTACAGGGTTATACAAATATACTAAACATAATCTATTTAAGTTTAATAATTATACAAAAACCAAAATCATACTAACCCTTAACTCTCTTCAAACTTTAACATCATAAGTTTATAAACAAATTCATTACTCATAAAATAAATGAAAATTTGTAGCAGCTGGGTTTTATAAAACCTTTAGGGCTCCACCGCCATGTGCAAAAAAAAAAAAAAAGGTCCAATCAGTCAATTTCAACTTCTCGTGGGGAAAAAAAAAGATCTTGCAAAGTTGGAATGGATTGATTGAACTTTTTAGTCCCACCCAGTCTGCCATTACCACTGCAGTCACGCCCAGCCAATGGGCCATACCCACCCGGCACCTGGCGATGCATAAGTGGGTTTTGGGTTGCAGTTTGGGCACTCCGTCTCTAAAAGGTTCGCCATCACTGGCCTAGAGGTGGAGCTCCTGCCTCACAATCAGGAGGCAGTGAGTTCAATCCTAGGTAGCGGCTGATATTTCTCTCTCTCTCTGGGTGCAAAGAGAAAATATCTGCATAGGTATCAGGAAGGGCATCCAGCTAGTAAACGCTCAGCTCCATTCAGTTACCCCAACTCCACCCTTTTCTCCTTCCCTCTTTCCCCTGCAAAGCGCCACAGATCTCGTCAACATCAGGCAGCATCCTGAGTTGTGAGCAACCTCTCTTTTTCTCCTTATCTTGTATCTGAGTCAGTTGGCAGATTACAAGTTCTATTAAAAGCCTATCCTGGATGAAAAATCCATCCCGCTCTCCCCGTCGTGCTGATCTACAACATACCAACTCTCCGCCCGCGGGTCCAGCAAGTAGAGCCAAAGGGGAACTGGTGGGCAGCATAGGGAGCACAAATGGCCCGGATGCTGTCGTTGAACACCACAGGTTGTTCCAGGGTGACTATCGCAATGTCATAACCTTCCATCATGTTGATGTAGAGACCGTGTAGCTCAATGTTTTGGACAGTTCTCTTCTCTTGCCACATTTGATTCCCTCCGTCCAGCTGCTCTCCCAGAAACACCTCCCACTCTTCGGGTTCCTGGCGGCTGGAAAACATGAGGCAAAAGGGGAAAAAAATGATGCCCAAGAAAAACAAGAAAGGAAGTCTGTGCAATTAGGTTGGATTGAGTACAGGTGGTCCTCAATTTATGACAATTGGGACTGGAGCTTCTATCGCTAAACAATGCAGACGTTAAGTGAGTCACATCCACATTTAAAACCTTTATTGCCACAGTCCTTAAGTGAATATAAAATAGAATAAAATGACAGAGTTGGAAGAGACCATGAAGGTCTTCTGGTCCAACCCCCTGCTCAGGCAGGAAGCCCTAGGCCTATCCCATTTCAGACAAATGGCTGTCCAGTCTCTTCTTAAAAACTTCCAATGTTGGAGCATTCACCGCTTCTGGAGACAAGTTGTTCCACTGATTAATTGTTCTAACTCAGTGGTTCTCAACCTTTTTAACGCCGCAACCCCCAACCGGTCGTAAGTCGAGGACTACTCAACCGGTCGTAAGTCGAGGACTACTCAACTGGTGCAGCACCGTTTGCAGAATGGGACTTTTGGCGGGCTCAGCAGGGCAGAGACAGCCTGGACAATTCCTATTGGCTTTTGAAAGCCAATAGAATTAGACTCTATTCAAGAGAGTCTATTCTATTGGCTTTCAAAACCAATAGAATAAAAGGGAGTAGCACAGCTAAGGAAAAGGGGAAAAAATGGCGGACTGCGTTGTTTGGCGACCCCCATGAAATGGTCGTTCGACCCCAAATGGGGTCCCGACCCACAGGTTGAGAACCACTGTTCTAACTGATTAGTTTACATCCGTTGTTTCTTGATCTGCCTGTTGGATGCTTGGGAGAATAGCTTGACTCCCTCTTCTTTGTGGCAGCCCCTGAGATATTGGAACACTGCTATCATGTCCCCCCTCGTCCTTCTGTTCATTAAACTAGACATACCCAATTCCAGCAACGGTTCCTTATATGTTTTAGCCTCCAGTCGCCTGATCATCTTTGCTGCTCTTCTCTGCACTCTTTCTAGAGACTCAACATCTTTTTACATCGTGATGACCAAAACTGGATGCAGTATTCCAAGTGTGGCCTTACCAAGGCATTGTAAAGTGGTATTAACACTTCAGGGGATCTTGATTCTATCCCTCTGTTAATGTAGCCTAGCGCTGAGTTGGCTTTTTTGGCAGCTGCAGCACATTGCTGGGTCATATTTAAGTAATTGTCCACTAGGATTCCGAAATCCCTCTCACAGTTGCTACTGTTGAGCATACGGTATGGTACTACCTATATGTGGTTGTTAAGTGAATCATGCAGTTGTTGACAAATTTGGCTTCCCCCATTGAGTTTGTTTGCTGGAAGCACATGGAAAGGTCACAAATGGTGATCACATGATTCTAGGATTATGCAACCACTGTAACTACGTGCTGGTTGCCAAATTTTGATCATGTAATCATGGGGACATTGCAATGATCATGAATAGGAGGCCTGGTCATGTCACATTTTCCAGCACCGTTGTAACTTGGACGGTCATTAAACAAATGGTCGTAAGTCAAGAATTATCTGTAAGAACTTTTGGGGTTTGACTTAATATAAAGAGGAGGTTTCCAGATGTCCTGATTTTTGTAAAGTCAGGCCAAAAATTCTGGGAGTTGAGATTTTATCACAGTCAGTTTAGTCTAGTGATTAAGGCACCAGGCTAGCAATTGGGAGACGGTGAATTCTAGTTCTGCCTTAGCCATGAAAGCCAGCTGGGTCACTTTGAGCCTGTCATTCTCTCTTAGCCCAACCTACTTCGCAGGATTGTTGCTGGGGGAAAATAGGAGAGTGAAGACATGCTGAATATATTTGCCACCTTGAGTTATTTATAAAAATAATAAAGGCAGGATACAAATAAATAAATAGTCACCATCCATGGCTGAGGCTTGGTGCCAGATTCATTCATCTTTATGATACAGAGAAATGAATGGGTCAGCTTAGCTAAGCTTGAGAACATTCAAAGGACACCATTAGCTGAAAAGAAGTTCTCAGATCTAATCCAAAGTCAGTGAGATGAATGTGGATATTGACCAATATGGGCTCTTCCCTACTCAGAGGCTACCTGACATTTAGGCAAGAAAAACCAAATGCACAAGTACAGCATAGGTGGCACCATGCTTAATAGCAGTAACTGTGAGAGGGACCTCGGAGTCCTAGTAGACAATCACCTAAATATGAGCCAGCAGTGTGCTGCAGCTGCCAAAAAGGCCAACACAGTGCTAGGCTGCATTAACAGAGGGATAGAATCAAAATCACGTGAAGTATTAATACCACTCTACAATGCCTTGGTAAGGCCACACTTGGAATACTGCATCCAGTTTTGCTCACCACGATGTAAAAAAGATGTTGAGACTCTAGAAAGGGTACAGAGAAGAGCAACAAAGATGATTAGGGGACTGAAGACTAAAACATAAGGAACAGTTGCTAGAATTGGGTATGTCTAGTTTAACGAAGAGAAGGACAAGGGGGGACATGATAGCAGTATTCCAATATCTCAGGGGCTGCCATAAAGAAGAGGGAATTAAGCTATTTTCCAAAGCACCTGAAGGCAGGACAAGAAGCAACGGGTGGAAACTAATCAAGGAGAGAAGCAACCTAGAACTAAGGAGAAACTTCCTGACAGTGAGAACAATTAATCAGTGGAACAGACTGCCTCCAGAAGCAGTAAATGCTCCAACACTGGAAGTTTTTAAGAAGAGACTGGACAGCCATTTATCCGAAATGGTGTAGGGTTTCCTGCCTGAGCAGGGGGTTGGATTAGATGACCTCCAAGGTCCCTTCCAACTTTACTACTATTACTATTACTAAGTACTCACCCAATGAAGCACTGGGCAGCAGTCAGCACCTGGTCTTCACCAATTAAAGTGCCTCCACAGACATGCTTTCCTTGATACCGTAGGCTTGTATACCAAGGCCATTGTTTGTTCTCCTGTTTCAGGACCCCACAGCCTGGAGATCAATAAAGAACACAGGTAGTCCTCAACTTATGTCCACAAGTCAGCCCAGAATTTCTGTTGCTAAGCAAGAGAGATGTTAAGCGAGTTTTGCCTCGTTTTATGGCCTTTCTTGCTACAGTTAAGGGAATGACTGCAGTTCTTCAGTTAATAACATTATTCTGGCTTCCACATTGACTTTGCTTGTCAGTGTTTGCTTCGCATACAGTGACCCTGGGATCCTGCAACCATCTCAAGTTCTTGCCAGTAGCCAAGAGTCCAAAATTTGATCTTGTGGCTACGGGGATGTTGCAATGGTCATAAGTGTGAAAAATGGTCATAGGTCACTTTTTCAATGACATTGTAACTTCAAACGGTCACTAAACAAATGGGCGTAAAATGAGGACCACCTGTAGCATAAGGTATCACTTCATCTCATGCCTCCAAAGATAACTACTTCCATCAGCACCTCTTCCATGTTGCAGGGTGTGCCAGTCATATGAACCCCAAATACCTCCAAACAACGCAGCCTGGTAACACTAACGATTTTCACAGTGTAGGGAAGGGGACAATAAAATACGAAGCAGAAGAGGCCCATGGAGCCACTGTGAAAGGGAAAACATTTTTCTAGTTTTCAACCCACACACATCCAAAATGTTACTATTCCACATGGAAGAAACTATTACACATCCTCCAGGATGTGGCCTTTGGATGCTTAGATGAATAGATAAGCCATATAATTCCCATCATGTCCAAAGGTGCTGATAACCAGCTTTAAACCGTGATAGGCCAGATAAGAAGCAATGTTCCGATGAGAATCCTATGGCCTTCCGAATGTGATCCCAGGGAACACTGTCAGTAGGGGTAGAGATTGTAGTTCAACGTAAGAAGGGCTGTCGATCCTTCTTCCCTCTGGTGCGCTAAATGGGTCTTAAATTAAGATTAGAATGTAGATCAGTTTTCCTCAACCTTGGCAACCTCAAGATGTCTGGACTTCAATGCCCAGAATTCTCTGGAGTATTCTGGGAGTTGAAATCCAGATCTTAAATTTACTATGGTTGAGAAACGCTGCTTTACAAGATGACAGCCATTACACAGAACCGGTGACTAGTTTGGAGCAGTGTTTCTCAACCTCAGCCATTTTAAGAAGTCTGGACTTCAACACGGCTGGCTGGAGAATTCCGGGAGTTGGAGTTCACACCTCTTCAGGTTGCCAAGGTAAGCACCATTGCTTCTGTTTTGGGCTGATAGCTGATATTTATTGCAAAAGCAAACTTGCAGATCTTTGGTTTAAGCCAGACATGTCAAACTCCCGATGTCACGTGACATTGCGCAACGTATCGGAGCTTTTTCACCATTGCCGGCAATGGGGTGGGCGCGGCTCCAGTATGATGAAACCGGGGTAGGCACAGCTCCAGTATGATGAAACCAGCCCACGGGCCGGCAGTTTAACACCCCTGGTTTAAGCCTTGGCAATGCAAACAGGCTTAGAAGGTTATCTGGCATCCACAGCTGACTTGAATTAAGACCTTTCCTATTCTGAAAAAAGAGAGAGAGAGAGAGAGAGAGGCTGAACTGAAACTGGATCAGAAGGCGAAGATGGAGCAGTATGGAATGTCAGCAGAATCCTGAAGCAAGGCTTTGGACAGATGGGTTGTCAATGAAGGTATTCACAGAAGTGAGCTGCGAAGACGCCTACCTGTGCACATGTAACTGTCAGTGGTGTTGGGTATGGGCTCAATCTGATTGGCGAAAGAGGCCCCTTCAACATGATGCTGGATCCAATTGGCGTAGGCTCTCGTGTCCGTCAGGAGGGTGGGACCGTAGAATTGGGTACAACTCAGCGAGGAGCTCATAACCCCAGCCTGGAACCATCTGCCATTCTCCAGGCAAACCAGCGGGCCACCTGAGTCGCCCTAAGGGAGAAAGAGAGATTATCTGCATTTTCTCTGCATGGATGGTGGTGTCTGTCCCCATCTCTTCTTTTGCTTACTGCATGATCCACCAGTGGGAGCTAGAGGCAAGGAGATGCCTCCGGCTGCTAAATTAGAAACCTCTCCAGCCTCGGGATGGGCAACAAAATTAAGCTAAGGGCATGGAGCAGATGAAGGAAAGGAACTAGAGATAGAAGCCAGGGAAAAGACTGGGAATTATGAATTCATTGGTGTAAAAACCAACCAGCAGAACTGAAAAATCTGTTAAGTCTTTTAGTCTTAATCATAGAAATACACAGCTGGAAGGGACCGTGGAGGTCTTCTAGTCCAAACTTTTCTTGACAACCTCCAGCAATGGAGCATCCACAACTCCGGAAGGCAAGCTGTTCTATTGATTAATTATTCTCACTCTTAGGAAATCCCTTCTTGTTTTCAGGTTTGATCTCCTCCGATGAGCTTCCACCCATTGCTTTCTTGTCCTGCCCTCAGGTGCTTTGGAGAATAAATTGACATCCTCTTTCCTGTGTCAGCCCTTCAAGGATTGTAAGATGCCTGTCATGTCTTCCTAGCCTTCTCTTTGTTCATGAGGCTAAACATACCTAGCTCCCTTCGCCCTTCATCTTACGACTTAGCCTCCAGAGCTCTTACCATCTTCTGTTGCTCTTCTCTACTCTTTCTAAGGCAGGGGTGTCAAACTCAGTTTCACTGAGGGCCGCATCAGCATTGCAGTTGTCTTTGGGGGGCCAGGTAGGTGTGGCCAGGGTGGATGTGGCCTACTGGGTGGGCATGGCTGGAGTGGGTGTGGCCTACTGGGTGGGCATGGCCAACTCTACATCGTTCGCGTCAAGGGTGCCTGTGGGGGCCTGGACAGGAGTGGGACAGATCTGAGGGTCTCTGGCAGAAGCGGGTGGGACCGGGGCAAGCGCCAAGGCATGGTCCACTGGAAGAGTCTGCTGAAACCCCTCCCCCGGAGCCCATCAAGCTAGATATGTGAAGTAAGCAAGGGCCATTTGCTGGCCATTTCCAGGCGATGGTGCAGTTCTTCATTCCTCACAAAGGGTGACACCTCCCCAGCATGCACCCAGGAGGCGGGGCAGATGCGGTAGGGGCTGCTCCCTCGCTGTTTCCAGACAGCCTTGTTGGAGCTAAGACTGAATGTGTTTCAGCATAAATGGCCACCACAAAATTGTACATTGGCTCCTGGCCGGCCTGGGCCAGGGCCAAGGCAGCGGGGGCCATTCCCTCACTGTTTCTAGGATGGCTTCACGGGCCACATGAAACCACATCGGGGCTGCATCCGGCTCCCGGGCCTTGTGTTTGACATGTTTGTTCTAAGGCTTCAGCATCTTTTTTTGTGGGTTTTTTTTTTTAGTCTTAGGTTTAGGTTTAGGGCTTAGAGCTTTTGGATAGATTAAATTAAACTAAAATTTCAAAAGTTGAGGTGCATCTCCCTTGTTTTGTGTTCTCAAAGAATTTCCAGTTTGGAGAAATAGCAAAAGTCAAACAAATGATGTCCTGGAAGCCACATCAACCAACTCAGAGGTTGCAGGTCTCTTTAAGGTTCACACACGAAGCATGTGGAAAAAGGAGTGGGGCTTTGATGGCCAGTGGTAGCCACCTTCTTGACTTTCTTAAGGGGGCCAAGCTATTCTCCAAAGCACGTGAAGGTAGGACAAGAAGCAGTGGATGGAAATTAATCAGGGAGAGAAGCAACCTAAAACTAAGGAGAAATTTCCTGATAAAGAGAACAATTTATCCGTGGAATGACTTGCCTTCAGAAGTTGTGTGGTGCTCCGTCACTTGAAGGTCTCAAGAAGAGACTGGACAACCATTGTCCGGAATAGTATAGGGTCTCTTGCCTTGAGCAGGGGGTTGGACTAGAAGATCTCCAAGGTCCCTTCCAACCTTGTTATTCTGTTATATTGGGCTAGACCAGGGATAGGCAACCTTGGCTGTTTTATGACTCATGGACTTCAACTCCAAGAATTCCTGAGACAGCCATGCTGAGGGGAAAGGGAGAGGTTTCCAAGCTGAGCCATGCTGGCTCAGGAATTCTGGGAGCTGAAGTCCATGAGTCATAAAAGAGCCAAGGTTGCCAACCCCTGAGCTAGACTGAATGATCTCAAGTTATACATAAGACTGTCTGCTGGATTCTGTGCCAGCCAGAAAAAAAAAATGGAGGGAAAAGAGGGAATTGTACAACTTCCTGAAATGTTTCCTAGCCTCTGGATTTGAAGATTCCCTCAAGTATTGCTGCCGACTCCCAAGCTTAGAACTAGAGGTCTAGAAACATTCTTGCTTTAAAATTAACAATTTTAAATTATGTACAATTCTTCTCCATCAAGGTAAATTTAAAGTTATTTAAATTTAGTAGCTGGAACATTGGGCTCGCACAGAGAACTAGAACACACAACTGTAGTTGATTGGTTGGAGATGCTGGCTCCTGCCTGAGGTAATCTGCACTGTGATTGGTAGCGGTGGGTGTGGAGGGGAAGTTTCTCTTTTTTCCCACCTTTTTCTTCTGTGTGCCCTACATGCTCTGTGATTTACCTCATGATGCTCTTGTTTGTCTAACTATCTTGTCTGCTGTAAATATAGATGTAAAATATATTTGTATAAGCTGCAAGCTTGCGTCAGTGTCTCTGAATTCGTTTGGACACTTGCTATGCAATTCCCTGTCAAGTCGGCAGGGTTTGTGTTAGAAATTCTGTTTATATAAAGCACCACACAGAGCAAAGTACAGTCACCATGTGCTTTACTGCTCAACTATATTACTGTAACAGGAAACAGGAAGCTACTTAGGACAAAAGAGCATAGAGTATATACCGCAAGTCCAAACTTGTAAATACTGCCACCTACTGGCTGAATGCTTCTGTAGTTGTTGCAATACAAAATGTATTCCAACATGCATTCCAACAGTAAGGAAGTGGCCAGACAAACGCATGCTTCTTTGGAGATTGTAATGTTTGACTAACCTTACAAGGTCCTCTCTTGCGGTCAGGGGTCAGGGCACAGACCATGCCAGGCAAGGCAGGGTTGATGATCCGCCTGTTGCGCAGATTGCTGTAAATGCAGTTGCAGGTGTCGACGGTCAAGAGGTCCATGGTTATTTCTTGGAGGGGCATGGGGTCTGGCAGATGGACTGGAAGACAAGAAGGAATGAGGTTAAACCTGCAGCCCTAAACACAACACTTTGCATTGAAATACATGCATGCACACATTCCAGATACACTCAAGCATGCACATACAAACACTACTATGCTTGCACAAACATATTCATTCTCTTGTCTCTAGCACAGGTAGTCTTTAACTTATGACCACAACTGAGCCCAAAATTTCTGTCACTGAGCAAGACATGTTGTGACCTTTCTTGCCACAATTGTAAAGTGAATCACCTGCAGTTGTTAAATTAGTAACATGGTTGTTCAGTAAATCTGGCTTCCCCATTAACTTTGCTGGTCAGAAAGTCACAAAAGGTGATCAAATGACCCCAGGACGGTGCAACCATCATAAATATGAGTCAGTTGCCAAGCACCTGAATTTTGATCAGGTGACCATGGGGATATCGCAACGGTCATGTAAAAAACAGTCATAAGTCACTTTTTTTGTGCTGTTGTAACTTCAAACGGTCACTAAATGAACTCCTATAAGTTGAGGACTACCTGTAGAGTCTCAGGCAAGATACTGTCCTGTTCCACCTCCACTTCACTTCAGCTTGGCTTCAGCCCCAGTTTCTTCCTGGTTCTCTATGGGGCTGTATCCATTGCCACTAATCCCATCACTTCTATGGATCCTGGCTTCTAATCACCTAGGGACCACCTCTTTCTCAGTATGCTGGTTTCTCCCCACAGAGGGGGAAAAGAATGTAACCAGCATGATGATGGCCAGTGATAGTTTTATCCGTACGTAACATGTCCAGGACCCACCTAAAGCAAGGTTCCCCAACCTTTGGGCCATGGCCCATACTACCAGGCCTTGAGTCATTTGGAACCGGGCTGCAGAAGTGGAGGGCAAGCGCGCGCACACATCCCCACTTGCGCAAGCAGTGGCTGAGCGTGTCCACGGGTGTTCCATTTGTGTGAGCGGAAGCTGCACGTGCCCGCTGTTCATGCAAATGGAGCTGCGCATGCATGCATTTGCCCTTTGCTCACATGGAACCACCACCCCCCCCCGCTGATCCACAAAGCTGGAAAGGTTGGGGAACTCTGCCCTAAAGCCTCTCCTTATAAATAAGAAACTTCAAACCAGACATGTTAAACACAAGGTCCGGGGGCCGGATGTGGCCCTTGACGTGGTTTCATGTGGCCCACGAAGCCATCCTAGAAACAGTGAGGGAATAGTCCCCACTGCCTTGGCCCCGGCCCAGGCAAGCCAGGAGCCAATGTACAATTTTGTGGTGGCCATCTATGCTGAAATGCATTCAGTCTTAGCTCCACAAAGCTGTCTGGAAACAGCGAGGAACCAGCCACTGCCACGTCTGCCCCGCTTCCTGGGTGCATGCTGGGGAGGTGTCACCCTTTGTGAGGAATGAAGAAATGCACCATCGCCTGGAAGTGGCCAGCAAATGGCCCTTGCCTACTTCACATATCCGGCTTGATGGGCTCTGGGGGAGAAGTTTCAGCAGACTCTTCCAGTGGACCATGCCTTGGCGCTTGCCCTGGTCCCACCCCCTTCTGCCAGAGACCCTCAGATCTGTCCCACTCCTGCCCAGGCCCCCACAGGCACTTTGACGCGAACAATGTACAGCTGGCCATGCCCACCCAGTAGGCCACACCCACTCCAGCCATACCCACCCAGTAGGCCATGCCCACCCTGGCCACACCTACCCGGCCCCTCGAGGACAACTGCAATGCTGATGCGGCCCTCAATGAAATTGAGTTTGACACCCCTGCTCCAGACCCTTCATTTAAAAAAAGACACAACTGTATTTTACCGATTCCTAGACCTAGATATAAAGACCCACCAGGCCTCTCCACTCTAACCCAGAGGTCCCCAACCTTTTGGGCACCAGGGACTGGTTATGTGGAGAGAGGTTTTTCCATGGACCAGACGGGGCGTGGTTTTGTGTGCTGCCTGCATCCTGCGGATGGGGCTTTGCTTGTTTGCGCAGACCGGTTGTTGGCATGCCGCAGCCCAGTACTGGTCCACAGACCGGGGGTTGGGGACCCCTGCTCTAACCCCTTATGTTTACCATTGGCATCGACGTCTCCCCAGCCAGTCAACCAGCACTGGGTCCCAAAGGCGAAACGGTGATCAGCATAGGGCAGGCAGATGGGTGCAATGTCTCTGTTGAAGTGCACCGGCTTGGCCAGGTGCACCAGAGCGATGTCATGACCCATCTCATAGCTGGTGTAGTTTTCGTAAGGGATAATCATGGAGACGTTCCGTTTTGACCCTCTGCCCCTCCGGCCTGTCAGCTTCAGACTTCCCAAGAGCACGCTCCAGCGCTCCACGTGGATTTCTTTTTCAATCCTGGAATAAAACAGTATCCATATAAGAGAGCTCTAAGCCCCTCCAAACATCAGCTATCTTGTGCCACTTTGATGTGCCAGACCACAATTCCCATCATTTACAGCCAGTATAAATGGCTGAGGTTGATTAAACCAAGGGCTTCAGTGAGAGGCACCAGGTTGAAGAAAGAGTGCCTTGAGGTAAATGTCGGGGGTTTGCAATGAATTGATAGAAAAAAGCTGATCACTTTTAGTAAAGACAGAGGGAACAGTCCTGAAATGTCTGTTAATTACAGCTTGTCCTCGATTTACAACCATTTGTTTAGTGACTGTTTGAGATTACAGTGGCACTGAAAAAAGTCACTTCTGACCCTTTTTTCACACTTAACGATCGTTGGAGCATCCCCATCATCACATGATCAAAATCCAGATACTCGGTACCTGACTCATATTTATGACGGTTGCAGTGTCCTGGAGTCATGTGATTGTCTGTTCTGACCACCTGACAAGCTATCAATGGGGAAGCCAGATTCACTTAACAACCACATTATTAACTTAAGAACTACAGTGATTCACTTAACAGTTGTGGCAAGAAAGGTCATAAAACGGGGCAAAACTCACATAGCTGTCTTGCTTAGCAGCAGAACATTTGAGCTCAATTGTGGTCGTTAAGTTGAGGACTACCTGTATTGATTTCATTCAGACACACCTAAACTACCAGTACCTTGTATCTCCGGGTAGAACTATGCAGCTCTCTGTCTTTCTGGAGAATTGGTTCCAGAATAGCCAACCCAATGATTTGTTCTGGTGTTCAGCAGCTACTGGTTCAATTTGATTTGGTTCCGTTTGAGTCAGTTATTGCAATTGTAGACTAGTACAAGCTACTAGCTAGATCAGGGGTGTCAAACTCAATTTCATTGAGGGCCACATTAGCATTGCAGTTGTCCTCGGGGGGGGGGGGGCTGGATAGATATGGCCAAGGTGGGCGCAGCCTACTGGGTGGGCATGGCTGGAGTGGGTATGGCCTACTGGGTGGGCATGGCCAGCTCTCCATCATTCATGTCAAGGGTGCCTGTGGGGGCCTGGGCAGGAGTGGGACAGATCTGAGGGTCTCTGGCAGAAGGGGGTAGGACCAGGGCAAGTGCCAAGGCATGGTCCACTGGAAGAGTCTGCCAAAACCCCTCCCCCGGAGCCCATCAAGCCAGATATGTGAAGTAGACAAGGGCCATTTGTTGGCCACTTCCAGGCGATGGTGCATTTCTTCATTCCTCACAAAGGGTGACACCTCCCCAGCATGCACCCAGGGGGCGGGGCCAACGTGGCAGGGGCTGGTTCCTCGCTGTTTCCAGATGGCCTTGTAGAGCTAAGACTGAATGTGTTTCAGCATAGATGGCCACCACAAAATTGTACATTGGCTCCCGGCTGGCCTGGACTGGGGCCAAGGCAGCGGGGGCCATTCCCTCACTGTTTCCAGGATGGCTTCGCAGGCCACATGAAATCACGTTGCGGGCTGCACCTGGCCCCCAGGCCTTGTGTTTGATATGTCTGAGCTAGATAGGTAGCTAGACAGACAGGCAGATTGGGATATGGATGCATATCCATATATATGTATGTCTGTGTGTGTGTGTGCGATGATGAACAGAATCAATTCTAAGACAAAATTAACATACATTTAGTAAACAATCTAACTAGCAACTCTAAGTGAGGTCCAGATGTGTAAAATTATAATGGCCTTGTATTGTATATGTAATGTGTAAAATTACAACAAAGTGATAATATCAACATTTAAACAAAGTATAGTTATAGAGAGTGCATTGCAGAAAAGGAAGGCCTTTTGGGGTCTGACAGATCCTTCATGCTGCTGCACCAAAGCCAACTACATACATCATAACAAAAGCAGCTTTCTGTAGCCCAGTGGTTCTCAACCTTTTTAATGCCGCGATCCCCAACCGGTCGTAAGTCGAGGACTACTCAACCGGTCGTAAGTCGAGGACTACTCAACTGGTGCAGCACCGTTTGCAGAATGGAACTTTTGGCGGGCTCAGCAGGGCAGAGACAGCCTGGACAATTCCTATTGGCTTTTGAAAGCCAATAGAATTAGACTCTATTCAAGAGAGTCTATTCTATTGGCTTTCAAAAGCCAATAGAATAAAAGAGAGTAGCACAGCTAAGGAAAGGGGGGAAAAAATGGTGGACTGCATTGTTTGGCGACCCCCGTGAAATGGTCGTTCGGCCCCAAATGGAGTCCCGACCCACAGGTTGAGAACCACTGCTGTAGCCAATTAAAATCAAAACGGTCTTCAATGGGGAATGGTGACAGAAGGAGGTTGAGCCACCAAAGAGTCAACAGGAGGTACAAAGAACCTTGTCAGGCTAAGAAGCATATTTAGGGGCATGAAGAAAAGGGTACCTAGGTTCACTTACTCGAAAAAGCAATGGGCAGCAGTGACAATCCATTGATCATTAATGAGGCTTCCTCCGCATACATGTTGGTTGCGAAATTGGATACTGACTTGCCACCGCCACTCGCCAGGCTGGGCATTCACGCCACCCGCGATCCGTAGAACAGGCCGTTGAATTCCACACGTTAACGCTGGATGGGGAACAGGAAGATTAAAAGGCATCTTGTACAGAGGTTATCCAATCTTGCTTTGGTGCCTTGGAGCCAGTATTGACTCCTGGCAACGGCCTAGATGAGACTCTGCAATTCTGTTGGGCAAAGTGGTTTGCCCTTGCCTGCTTCCCAGGGCTGATCGAAAGTGGCCGGCCTGAGTCATCTAGCTGGTTTCATGCCTATGGTGGGACTAGAAGTCAACTCTCTTGATTTGTAGCCTGGTGTTTTAACCAGCATACCAAATTAGCCCTGACCTGATAGTAAGGTGACCAACTTTTTTACAATGAAAAGGAGGACACAAATAAATTGAAGAAAAAAAATATCGTAAATAAAAGAAACATTTTATTCATTGCAACAATAAATACAGACAACTTGCATGTGCAAAGTTTGCCAGCCGGGGAAATCATGCTTCGTTTATGAAATAGCCCTAATCACATCAACATGATGCAAGACCGATTTTGAAACATTTTCCAATTGAAACACAGAAGCCAACATTTTAAGCCCACCCAAATATTGTTTGCAGCTACCTTTCAAGCCTAGGATGGAAGGGTCACGTACTAATTCATTTTCAGCCCAGCCTTAATGCTTTATTACTCTACTTTAATGAGAAAGAATTGTGAAATAAATAAAAAAAGTATGGCCCATTAATAATCATACCTGGAGCTGATGATCCTCTGTGAAGAACTGGTAAAAACAAAACAAAAAAAAACAGGGTTGTGAGTGCTAAAATCCTTTCAAAAATAAATTCAGTTTGTTAAATGCTTATATAAATCCCCTTTGCTACCAAACAGACATTTAAAGTTACATATAACTAAGATAAAGTATCAACAATTAGAAATGAATCCACAAATACTGTGGATAACTGTGAGAGGGATCTCAGAGTCCTAGTGCAGGGCTTTTCAACCAGTGGTACAGGTACCACCTGTGGTACATTGGCACCTGGCAGGTGGTACGCGACCATCCTAGAAAAGTGGTAGCGGGGGAGGGGAATGAGCTGAACCGGTGGCAGCACTGCACAAGACTGATCGAGAGATGGCTGGAGCTGCAGGGCTGTCAGGGCTCAGCGGAAGTGCCATGATCAGTGCCGCTTTTCAGCTGGAGCTCAGCACTGATCCTGGCGCTTCCGCTGAGCCCTGAAGAAGCGCCAATCAGCTGGAATGTTGCAGCCTCTCCAGGGTCTTGTGATTTACATTCAGATGCTTGGCCACTGATTCATATTTATGACGGTCACAGTGTCCCAGGGTCATGTGAAGTGACCAAAACCTGCTGCAACCACCCAGCAAATGGGGGAAATAAAAACCAAACATCCCCCACCCCATCCCCACTGCCAATCCTCAACAGAAATGCTCACAACAATGAAAACCTCAGACAGGAGGAAGAATGCCACTGGGTGGGCAGGCAGGTGTCTTGCTCGGCTGTGGCTTGGGGGACACTTTTTTCAGTGCTATCGTAACTTCGAACAGTCACTAAGCGAACTGTTGTAAGTCAAGGACTACCTGTACTTTATCACTTTTTTTCTTTTTTTTTGTTTTTTTTTTTGGTCATCAAGCTTTTGACACCTTGCTAGGCGACTGGTGGTACTCGGATGTTGCCATATCCTAAAAGTGGTACAATGGGTGAAAAGGTTGAAAAACCCTGTCCTAGTGGACAATCATTTAAATATGAGCCAGCAGTGTGCTGCAGCTGCCAAAAAAGCCAACACAGTGCTAGGCTGCATTAACAGAGGGATAGAATCAAGATCACGCGAAGTGTTAATACCACTCTTCAATGCCTTGGTAAGGCCACGCTTGGAATACTGCATCCAGTTTTGGTCACCACGATGTAAAAAAGATGTTGAGACTCTAGAAAGAGTGCAGAGAAGAGCAACAAAGATGATTAGGGGACTGGAGGCTAAAGCATATAAGGAACGGCTGCTGGAATTGGGTATGTCTAGTTTAACGAAGAGAAGGACAAGGGGGGACATGATAGCAGTATTCCAATATCTCAGGGGCTGCCATAAAGAAGAGGGAATTAAGCTATTTTCCAAAGCACCTGAAGGCAGGACAAGAAGCAACAGGTGGAAACTAATCAAGGAGAGAAGAAACCTACAACTAAGGAGAAACTTCCTGACAGTTAGAACAATTAACCAGTGGAACAACCTGCCTCCAGAAGCTGTGAATGCTCCAACACTGGAAGTTTTTAAGAAGAGACTGGACAGCCATTCGTCCGAAACAGTATAGGGTTTCCTGCCTGAGCAGGAGGTTGGACTAGATGACCTCCAAGGTCCCTTCCAACTTTATTATTATTATTATTATTATTATTATTATTATTATTATTATTATTATTATCGATCATCGCACAGTCAGCCAGATGTTCAGACTGGATTTGGCATTTTGTCTACCTATCGAGTCCTTACCCAGGACCTGGGATAGGCAGATGTGGATGTTTGATGGTATTACAGATATCGTCGCAGGATGGAAGCAGTTCCTAGTAAGGCCGCCTTTTGCAATTGACTAATAGCGAATTTGTCAATGCCAATGGTGTTCAAGTGGTGCTCCAGTTGTTTTGGGATTGCGCCCAAGGAGCCTATGACTATTGGTACTACCCTTGCTTGCTTTTGCCACAGTCTTTCTATTTCTATTTGTAGGTCTTTGTATTTTGTTATCTTCTCCAGTTCTTTCTCTTCTATTCTGCTATCTCCAGGCACTGCCACGTCCACTATCCAGACTTTTTTGTCTTTCTTATCGACAATTGTTAAGTCTGGGGTGTTATGTTGCAGGTGCTTGTCTGTTTGAATTCTGAAGTCCCAGAGCAGTTTAATTTTTCATTTTCTATGACTTTCTCTATTTTATGATCCCACCAGTTTTTGCTTACAGGCAAATGATATTTTTTGCAGATCTTCCAATGCACCATTGTTGCTACTTTGTCATGCCGCTGCTTGTAATCAGTCTGTGCAATCTTCTTGCAACAGCTTACCAAGTGGTCCACTGTTTCTTCAGCTTATTATTATTATTATTATTATTATTATTATTATTATTATTATTATTATTATTATCATGGATCATCGCACAGTCAGACTGGATTTGGATAGGCAGATGTGGATGTTTGATGGTTTTATAGATATCGTCGCAAGATGGAAGCAGTTCCTAGTAAGGCCGCCTTTTGCAATTGACTAATGGCAAATTTGTCAATGCCAATGGTGTTCAAGTGGTTCTCCAGTTGTTTTGGGATTGCACCCAAGGTGCCTATTACTATTGGTACTACTCTTGCTTGCTTTTGCCACAGTCTTTCTATTTCTATTTGTAGGTTTTTGTATTTTGTTATCTTCTCCAGTTCTTTCTCGTCTATTCTGCTGTCTCCAGGCACTGCCATGTCCACTATCCAGACTTTTTTGTCTTTCTTATCGACATTATTATTATTATTATTATTATTATTATTAAATACCCTCAGCTTTTCTGGAGAATTTCTAATTGGCTATAAATCTTTATTTGATAGTGAAGAATTGCCTTTGAGATAAATGTTCCGGGAGGTATTAGTCATGCGTGATTCAGTTTGAAGGGGCTACTGCAAGAGGCAATTTCCAGGCACTTAGAACAATTAACCAATACAAGGGGCTTCCGAGTTGCTCCTTTAAGGATTTTCCCCTGATTTCCACACAATGAAGCGATGAGAAATTTTGGCCGCAAATATTTGAACTGGCTTCTTTTTCGCACCCGTGTCACGAACATTGTCATGTGATTAGCAGTAGTTGGTAAATACAGGAAATCCTCGGCCTATGACCATAACTGAGCTCAACATTTCCATTGCTTTTGCTCCATTTTATGACCATTCTTGCCACAGCTGTTAAGTGAATCATTGCAATTGTTAAATTAGTAACATGGTTGTTAAGTGACTCTGACTCACGGACTCCACTTGTCAGAAGGTCGCCAAAAGTGATCAGCTGACCCCAGGACACTGCAACCGTCGCGACTACCTGCCAGTTGCTAAGCATCCGAATTTTGATCACGTGACCATGAGGATGCTGCAATGGTCAGAAGGGTGAAAAGTGATTTTTTTCCAGTGCCATTGTAACTTTGAATGGTCACTAAATGAATGGCTGTAAGTCGAGGACTACCTGCAGCAAGACCGATCGTTTCTGTTGGGAAGATGTAAACTGCTAATTCCTGCAAATTGCCATTAAGAGCCTCAGTAATGGTTGAAAGTTAACTAGGATGAACTCTGGTTACTATGTAGAAGGGAAGCCAGGACAGGTCTATACTAATCTGCTCCATCATTTTATGCATCCTAGAGACCAACCAGATGCCCTCTAAACTAAAGCACAACTTCTGGGTAATGCTTTGCTCTCCAGATCGGCAAACTTAAATTCGACCCTTCTCTACTGCTGACCTAGGCTCAACTCTGCCTCAATAATAATAATAACAATAATAATAGTAGTAGTAGTAGTAGTAGTAGTAGTTGTAGTAGTAGTAGTAGTAAAGTTGGAAGGGACCTTGGAGGTCATCTAGTCCAATCCCCTGCTCAGGCAGGAAACCCTACACCATTTCGGACAAATGGCTGTCCAGTCTCTTCTTAAAAACTTCCAGTGTTGGAGCATTTACTGCTTCTGGAGGCAGGCTGTTCCACTGATTAATTGTTCTCACTGTCAGGAAGTTTCTCCTTAGTTCTAGGTTGCTTCTCTCCTTGATTAGTTTCCACCCGTTGCTTCTTGTCCTGCCTTCAGGTGCTTTGGAAAATAGCTTAATTCCCTCTTCTTTATGGCAGCCCTGAGATATTGGAATACTGCTATCATGTCCCCCCTTGTCCTTCTCTTCGTTAAACTAGACATACCCAATTCTAGCAACCGTTCCTTATATGTTTTAGCCTTCAGTCCCCTAATCATCTTTGTTGCTCTTCTCTGTACTCTTTCTAGAGTCTCAACATCTTTTTTACATCGTGGTGACCAAAACTGGATGCAGTATTCCAAGTGTGGCCTTACCAAGGCATTGTAGAGTGGCATTAATACTTCACGTGATCTTGATTCTATCCCTCGGTTAATGCAGCCCAGCACTGTGTTGGCCTTTTTGGCAGCTGCAGCACACTGCTGGCTCATGTTTAAGTGATTGTCCACTAGGACTTCGAGGTCCCTCTCACAGTTACTACTATTGAGCATGGTGCCACCTATGCTGTACTTGTGCATTTGGTTTTTCTTGCCTAAATGTAGAACCTTGCTTTTAAATAAAATCCATTTGCTTTCTAACTTTCTAATACATCAAGTCTATTCAGCTGAAGTTGGATGAATATTTTGTTCGTTGACCAGGAGCCATCAAGGCAGGCTGAGATCCAGATGAAACACTAAAAATACAGGCTGGTGTGGCTTTGTTTGTCAAAGCAGAATTCTCCCCCCTCTCTCAACAGGGGACACGCCAGCCACCTTGACTAAGAGCTTTAGCACGAGCTAAGATAAACTCTTGGTAGGTGTAATGCTTGCAAACCGTGACTTAATCCTTTTTATCCGGAAGCCTGCTGCCTGAAGCAAGATTTTACGGAGGCAAGATTATGCCTGAAAGAAGAAATGGGGATCACTCTTCAGGGCCCTTTCAGCATTCATGACCTCATTCTTTGAATCCAGTTCAGTTTATACACTGAGTAAAATCAGCATTATAGGTAGTCCTCGGCTTACAACCATTTGTAAGTCCTCGACTTACAATCTTGATTTACCATTTGTTTCGTGACTCTTTGAAGTTACAACGGCACTGGAAAAAGTGGACCATGTGATCAAAATTTAGTTGCTTTACCCCTGGTGTGTATTTATGATGGTTGTACTGTCCCAGGGTCACCTTTTTTCAACTTTTAAAGTCAACGGGAGAAGCCAGATTTGCTTAACGACCACATGATTCGCTTAATAACTGCAGTGATTCGCTTAACCACTGTGGCCATAAAAGTTGTAAAATGGAGCGAAACACACATAACTGCCTCGCTTAGCAACGGAACTGTTGGGCTCAATTGTGGTCATAAATTGAGGACTACCTGCATGCAGTTCTGAGCTGTTTATATAGATTTCAGTTTTTAAATATATGTATGTGTGGCTGTGTGAGTAAATGTGTCTGTATGTGTGCTTATGGAATCCTCTTGAATATTGTCTGTAAAAAGAAAAAGGCAAGGAAAGCACCCTGAGGGAAATAGCTTTCCTTTAAAGCCAGCCTGCATTTGGCTAAATTTCTTATTTTCCGGATGTTTGAAAAATAATTAAAAGTTCTTCCCACTGCTAAAAAAAAATCTGAAGTGGTACATATAATTCTCAGGATTTTTCTTTTTCTCTCATTTGTCTCATAGGCCAGGTCCTCCTTAGAATTAAATTGTGGTTCAAAATTGAGAAGAATGTGGGTCAAATGCTGTATTTTCTGATAGGCTTTCTAGACTATGCATAGGGAATGGGTCCAAAAACTCAAGATGGCGGCCACAACAAAAATCAAGATGGCGGTACTACCCTCTTTATGTATAGAAAGTTATGGCTGCCATTTTGACTTTTGAATTGTCTCGCTTATACCCCTGGAGTCTGTTCATCACCTCTCTTAGATTTGGCTGTCAGCAGCAGGGAAGGAAGGACCAGGGATTGCCACTTTAATTTCCTACAATGCCCCAAACCCCCTTCAATGACCACATTCACTAATTGTTGGCAGATTTAAATAACAAGCCAGATTATGAACCCAGGTTTGAACAATGGCAGTAGCTGGATATACAGCATGCACTAATACAGAATACAAATGAACAAAAGAGCCAGAAAATGTGGGAAAATCACAAAAGGTGGGATAAATCTCTTATTTCAATATTTTGTCTGCCCAATGTTTGTGACGGAAGTTTACAAGGGTTGAGAAAGAAAGGGAAACCCCAGAAAAAGGGCTATCCTGTTTCTTAGCAATCAAGTGAACCAAACAATAATGTGTCAGCATATCAAATCGGGCCTTGATACAGATCCCACCATTGGTGCCTTTTTCCTAATCACTCTCCAAGGGGAGGTCAAAAAAGTCAAAATGGCCACTACAGCCATGTGGATTGGACTCTAGATCAGCGGTTCTCAACCTATGGGTTGCGACCCCATTTGGGGTCGATCGACCATTTCACGGGGGTCGCCAAGCAAGGCTGTCCGCCATTTTTTTCCCCTTTTCCGGCGGGTGCCTTACCTCCCTTGGGCTGGGCCAGCTGGTGGGCCAGCTGGTGGGCCAGCCGGTGGTCGGCCTGCTCCATCTCTGCCGCTTGCCAGCTACGCCTCGGCCAGCGCAGGGGGAGGCACCACGCATGTGCGGTGCTCCCGGGCAGGGAAAGTCCTCGACTTACGACCGGTTTAGTCCTCGACTTATGACCGGTTGGGGGTCGCAGCATTAAAAAGGTTGAGAACCACTGCTCTAGATAGTAGCGTGGTGTACAGATTGGATGTCAACTTCAGCAACTTTAAGATGTGTGGACTCCAACTCCCAGAATTCCTCAGTCTTCATGTTGACTGGGAAATTCTGGGAGTTGGAGTCCAACCATTTTAAAGTTGCTAAGGTTGAGAAACACTGATCTAGATTCATCTAATCTCGGATGTCCCTAATCAGCCACGTTTTGGTTACTCATGACTATCTTTTTGCATGCATTTCTGTGAGTCTCAAACGTGGCTGGAAATGAATCCGGTCTGGCACTGGAGAACACATATGTATAAAATTCCCGGTGTTTTAGGGTAGCTCTCTTATTTTGTGAACAGGACCAACAGTTGCTATCTTGCTGTTTTGATCCCTTCTCCCCCACCCCACCCCCCATGGACGCTCTGGCCATCTGCACAGTCATTGCTCATGGCCAGCCCTTTCCTTGTAAAACGGCTTTGCAATCCTGAGAAAAATCAAATAAAATATTCGATTTTGAGATCTGAAATCTCAAAAGATTTCCTGCTTATGTCTGATGGAATGATGAATGATGGTGGCAAACAAAACTGCCCCTTTTTAACTAGCATTTCACAGGTTAAGGGGTTGGAGTTCTGACATTTAAAACAGATTGTGCTGCTGAGCTGGGAAAGAAGATTTATAACTCTACCTTTCCCAACTTTAACATTCTTAGCAAATAAAACCACAACTGTTTCACTTTCCCACTTCTTCAGATTCCTTCCATGAAGGAGCTTCAGGGGAAAAGTGGGGAACCTGCCCCCCCCCAGCGCTCCCAGGAAGCGAGGGAGGTCAAGATGGAGGATGTGAATGCACAACTGAGGGCCCTTTGGGAATCATTTTACATTAGCTGACAGCTCCCTTGGGGGGTGGTAGCTTGTTCTACTGACTGCTTTGGTGTCTCCAAGACACAGAATGTCAGCAAAGACAGCAGGCAAGAATTCAACACGGGGAGATTTCCCCAGCATAATGTCTTTGCACAAAGAGATTGGGCTTGCAGACTGGCTAGCTGTCTAGATAGATGATGGGTGGGTGGAGAGAGAGAGAGAGAGAGAGAGAGAGAGAGAGAGAGAGAGAGAGAGAGAGAGAGAGAGAGAGAGATCACAAAATAACCTCTGCAAACTTATCAAGAACCATAAATACAGAGAGAAGAATAATGTATCTTCTCCTATTTGCAACATCCCCAGTGAAAGAAACTTTACACTGGAAGTACATGCGTGCTCTCCAGTGCCAAAGTGGGTTAATCTTTAGCCATATTTTAAGACTCACATAAATGCATATGAAAAATTAGTCATAAGTAGCCTAAGCTTGGCCGATTATAGTGGGAAACTGAGAATAGACAAAACTAGATCAATGTTTCTCAACCTTAGAAACTTTAAGACGGGTGCTGGGGAATTCTGGGAGTTGAGAGTCCACCTGTCTTAAAGTTTTGCTGTGGTTGAGAAACACTGGTCTAGATCCAATATGTACACTGCACTATAATCTAGAAGAGTTAACTCATCTCCAAGGTTTTCTGGTGTCCTCAGGCCAGCTTTTTTTTTTTTGTTGTTGTTACTGAGCTTCCTGACTTGGAATAACTTTTATCTGCTTAATTCCTGCCTGTTGGGTAGATTCTGAAGGCACAAAAACCTTGATTATTCTTAAAGTCTGCCATATATTGCACAAGCATCAGCAACGGTGATCCTGCTTCTTGAAACTTTGGCTCAGGATCATGTGTGAATCACTTTCCTCCATCATTGCCCCTGCTCTCTTGTGAAACAGTGTTCGTTTCCTGTACAAATTGAAAATATATATTGAAATCGCCTGCTTCTAGGACTAATAAGAGCCCCTGGAAGGGATGCTCATCGTCGCTGCCACATTGGGGAAAAAACTTACTGATTTCTGCAGATCAGCCTGGAGCAGCCAGGATAGTAAATGCTGTCTACTTTGCTTAGACCCCTTGTTTCACCCTTTTTTCTTTCAAAATGAGCGATGAGGAGGCTTTGAACTAAATAGCTCCAAGGGCGCTACTTCCAGACATTATTAAATTGATTCTAAACAAAGATATCACACTGTAGAATCTGATTGATGCTAAATTGTTATTGGTTGTTCCAGTTTGTCCCAAAGAGGATACGTCATCTCCAGCTGGGTTTTTTTTTCTAATACTGAGCACCCCCATTTTTTCAGAAACATCCAGAATCAGATGAGATTATGCAACTTTCCAGCCCCTTACATTTTTTTTTGATAAAGTACCGATGGCTTGCATTCTCTCCCTGCTTGTTGTTAATCTATCTGCCTGTTCATTAGCTCTACTTCCCTCCCATGCACTTGTGCCATTTCTTAACCCCCATTAAAGAAACATCTTAAATACTATAAATACATTTAATTGGGGAGGTTATGGCCCTTAATGGCCCTTATTCCCACCCATTATGCAGCCATGCCTACCATATGGCACATGGTAGAACTCTATCAATGTATTTATGGCAGATAATATTTGTTTTAGCCAAAACTGCAAATTTGGCTTTGTTTTCTGTCGCCCCAAAACAGGGTCTGTTGAGGAGGGAGACGCTCCATTTAACCACCCCATTACCTTCTTAGTAAACAAACTGTAGATTATCCAACCGCCAGCTGAATCTGCTATGTAATAAGTTATAAATCAAACTAGCCCTGTATCGCCCAGTCCCACACCTAGTTTCACTAACCCTTTGTCCAAGTTTAGTAACTCACCCATAAGGACCAAGGCCAGAATCAGCCCAATGTTGGCAGATCTTATCTGTCTTGTCATTTTTGCCAGGTTATCTCTTTGCATCTGCTTGTTCTCTGCAGGACTCAAGGTTTATATATATTCCAGGCATGTTGCAGGAGGAGGATCCCTGGGTCGCTCCGCCCCGCCACACCTCTTCTTGCTTGCACAATCTGGCATTTTTCGGCATGTGTAAAGCTGTAGCCAAATTAGTCATCTTCCTCCCCCCCCCCCCCCCAAGGACTTAATATGCTTTGCCAGAATATTGACAACAGTGGTTCTGCTGAGTTAGCAGGAGTGTGTGGGGGGGGGGATAAAATTTTGATGGTTCTGTGGCTTCTCTCTTGCCCCTTGTAAGATGGATCCAGACAATCTTTTCTGCCACCTTTTGCTGCTTGCCTCTCTTTGGGTCTTACATATGCAGGAGTCCTTTTTCAGGGATACAGACAGAAGCAAGCCTTGCCTCTCCAAGCTTTCAAGGCCCATAATTCCCAAGCTTTCAAGGCCCCAACACAGCAGTTGACTCCAGCTCCCCTGGAAAGCAGATCTGTTGTATTTCCGGGCTTCCCATCTTTCCCGAGCAGGGAGGAGTTCTAGATCGATGCAAAGGAACATCTACAGCTGTTTTTGCAGTGTTCGCTCCGTGGCGTCCATGGGAAGAGGTCAAAATGAGCAAGATGGCGGACAAGGCATTGCAAGGCATTTGATCCTGCATCATGATGCTGCATCTGCTGTCTTGCTCATGTTGATCCCTATTTATTTATTTAGGAAAATTTATATAGCTGCCTACTTGCTCAGGGTGACTCTAGGCAGCTTACAGAACATAAAAACACAATTCAGAAGGAATAAAAAATAATAAAATAACCAGCCCCCCACCCCCCCTCACGAACAACGTACACTCATATCAGCCATTTACTGAACGCTACAATTGTTTTAAATATACAAATATAGTATACACATAGGCAACTTGCTACAGTAATTCCGCACTTACATTCTGCTCCTCAAAAGGCCTCAGCTTTCAGCTAATTTCCCTTCTTTCTTTCTTTCTTTCTTTCTTTCTTTCTTTCTTTCTTTCTTTCTTTCTTTCTTTCTTTCTTTCTTTTTTTCCTGTTTCCCTGCTCAAATTCCTTCAGACAACCCTAGAAAAATAGTGATTCGGCCATCCTGGGCACTCCTGCGGAGTTGGCTTGCTGCAGGTCCTGTCAATCAGTGTCATCTAGAAGAACCCAGGAGGTGGGCTTCCTCTAACACAGCACCTGCCCTGTGGACTAACATACATACACACACACACACACACACACACACACACAGAGAAAGATCTGTACAACTCTTACTTAGGAGCCCTAAAAATGTGGTGCATTCTCCAGGATTGCGGTTAAGGTGTTTGGTGGGCCTCTTTAGGTTGGGAATGATGTACGGAAGTGTTTTTCTTAATCTACTCCCTCAGGATGGATGACTACATTCTTGTTTCATGTGGTCTTCTCTCTTTTTTTTTTAATCTTGTGAAATTGAGTAATTTTGGAGATGGGTGGCTAAGACACTTGATAAATGAATCAGTAGGGAAGACAGGATCTACTCCAGTCAACTCCAGTTGCCTCACTGCAATGCTACCTTTTCTATCCAGTTGTCAGGCCTCAGGCCTCTGAGTCCATTTCTACCATGGCTGCCAGAGAGACTGGATGCTCCTTTTCTGAGCAATCTCCTTTTGGGGATTCTTTTTCCGGTTTGGTGAGGGATATTTTGGCCTCATGGGAAAACTCTACCAATGCTTAGGATTCCCATTTGTGCACAAAAGAATTAATAGGATGGATTTCAGCTTTGACTTGAGTCTCTAGATCAGTGTTTTTCCTCAACCTTGGAAACTTTAAGATGTGTGGACTTCAACTCCCAGAATTCCCCATCCAGCCATGTTGGCCTGGGAATTCTGGGAGTCGAAGTCTATATGCTGTATTTTAAAGTTGCTAAGGTTGAGAAACTCTGCTGTAGATGGCTAGAACTTAGTGGATGAGCCTCCCAGCAGATCCCTGCATTTTTCAGCCCTCCCCTCTCCACAAGATGTTAGACAAGCCTAGGTGCCAAGGAGGAGCTGAAAACTCTGGTGGGCTAGTGAAAAAGCAGAATTGTAAATTGGCTGCCTGTTCTTTGACCTCTTCTTAGTTTCTTCCTCTTCCTGCTGACTGAGAGCAAATGAGCTGATGTTCTGGAACTTCGCATGCCTTCTTTAGAGATTTATACAATTAAGTCTGGAATAATAATGCCACATTCCCAGTTTGGTGCGTCTTCTTCTTTCGGCTAACTAAATCCATTTGATCCTTGCATTCTTTCTCTTTTTGAGCTACAAGGGGTATTCAATCCCATCCAGTTCCAATGGGAGGGAATATTTCTGGCCCAGGGTTAAACTGTTTGGTCCTCAGTGCTCTTTGAGCTTAATGGTTTTCTTGCAAATATTTCATTATCAAACTGGGTAACATCATCAGAGTTGAAGACCACACATCTTAAACTTGACGATGTTGCCTAGTTTGGTAATGAAACGTCTGCAAGAAAACCACCAAGCTCAGAGAGCACCAGAGATTCCATCCAATTCTCTTTGGTTAGAGATCCTTGAGATAAATGAAGTGTCAACGCCGCAAATATTGTATATTCTTGCTTTTGACAATATGCAGAATTGTCTGGTAAATATGGGGTTAATAAAGAGCAGAAGGGGCGTTGGGGGTAAAGCCTGGGAAAGAAAGAGGAAGAAAACATTTGATCTTCACACTAATTGGATAGTGTGAGATATGTCGGCTAATTTAGGGAGGGAACATGCTGATAATTTAACTGCTCAGAGGAAGAGAACTTAGATCCTAGCATCCTTCGGTTGTGCCTGTGCCGACATTTTGTAACAATAAAAGACTTTTAGGAAAATAAATGCCTGGAAGTTCTTTGGAATGTTTCATTAGCCGGAACCACAACATCAAGCTGCTTCTTCCCAGCACTGGAGAACCAACGACCCCCTTGAAGGCAATCCAAGTTATTTTCTGGTCTTATCTCATGATAAAAAGTGAGCATGGGTTCTTCACTTTCTGAAGTAATACCTTCCCTCTATCTCAGGGACAGGAGGAAACAGCTCATGTGGATGTGTGGATGGACCTGCAGCCAAGCACATGGGCTCAGTCTCCCCTTAGCTGGAATGACATGTATCTTCCTGTTCTTCACAGTTCTCTCAGGGGTAAAGATAAGAAACTGTTTTTTAATGACTACCTTCATAAAGCAGCATCCATGAGTCATGCCGGGTCCCTTAGCCAGGAATGATAAAGTTAGGCTGGCATTTATTACAAGACGTTCTACAACCGATAGTCTGTTTTCCTTAGCAATACAAACAGCAGCAACAGCAATTAGGATTCATTAAATAAATGTCAAATGGCTATCTTTTCATGAGAACCATATTCTGCTTTCCAGGTCCCTTCTTCAAACTCATAGAGCCAGCATTTCCTCTCTCTCCCCCAACCCTTCTAGGTTGGATCACCAATGTTCAGTTCAATGCATATATTTTGCTTTTGGAAAAATTGTGCAGGGCACACCTCCAAAGAAAAATAAACTTCTAAGCCCTCATCTAATCACTGCCTCATTTCAAGAGCCTCATTCTTGGAGGCTCTTCCTTCCTCTTCCTCTACTTCTCCCCTTCCCCACCCCCCACTCTCCACATCCACTTCCTTCTTCTTCTCTCGGGTCAAGATTGATTGAAAAAGATAGAGATGGACAGATAAGCAATAAGTGCTCAGCTGCTATGTCAGCTGCTATGTTGGGTGCTCAGACCTTTGGCAAGGAAGACAAGAAGCAGGGAGAATCAGATTAGCTCCCTGAGATGGAACTGATCATCAGAATTAGGAGAGGAAAAGCAGATTAGAAGGAAGAGTCTAAGAATTGATTTAAAGCAGCAGCATTTCTCAAGCTTGGCAGTTGGATGTGTGGACTTCAGCTCCCAGACTTTCCCAGCCAGTTGTGCTATGCATAACTATGCTGACTGGGGAATTCTGGGAATTGAAGACCACACATCTTCAAAGTGCCAAGGTTGAGAAACTCTAATCTAAAGTGGATAAAAAGAAGGAATGAGCCAAGAGAACACCATTTAAGTGGTGACAAGAAAGGCCCACAATGTGTCTTCAAAAAGCTACCCATTTTTTTGGCACTACCTGACCTTGAATGATCTTAAATAGTGAGGAAGAACAATGAAGCAAGGACATGGGTGGGGAACCATTAGAAATAGCAGAGTTGTAGTAAGACAAAAGGTCAATTCAACAATGTATCATGAAATTACCAAAACATGTCCATGAGGCCACTAGGTGTTGGGTTGAGCTGAAGGAGAATCTTCTTCTTTCTTTTTTAATTCCACGAATATGGGGAAACCCAGTTTCCTTTTTCCTGAGAAAACAACAGTGGCTAGATTTACAACATATAGACCATGGTTATAAGGTTGGACTTCAAGCCACAGACTAAGTCATAAATGAACAAAAGCCATAAAGCCTTTGAAAGGCCATAAAAGTCTGACATCCTCAAGGAGTTTTTGATAAGTTAAGGCCAATCACCTGAGCTGACTGCAGTATTATTGTGCCCAACAGCATGGTCTGGCAAGGTATGATGGAAGCTGTACTCCAAGGTGTCAAGGGATGGGGGAGAACAGTTTACTAGGACTTGGCAGCCTGGCATTCCAGCACCAAGAAGGACACCCCAAAAGATGGATCTTGATGGACATCTTGACTTTGTGTACCTCGGCTCAACTATCTCTGACACTCTCTCTTTGGATACTGAGCTGAATAAACATATTGGTAAAGCCGCCACCACATTTTCCAGACTTACAAAGAGAGTATGGCTTAATAAGAAGTTGACAGAACATACAAAGATCCAGGTCTATAGAGCCTGCGTCTTGAGCACACTCCTGTACTGCAGTGAGTCTTGGACTCTTCACGTACAGCAGGAGAGAAAGATGAACACTTTTCATATGCGCTGTCTCCGATGTATTCTCAGCATCACCTGGCATAACAAAGTCCCAAATAGCGCAGTCCTGGAATGTGC